GCTAGCATAAGATTTTACAACAAACCCACTCAACACCAACATGTACACCATATATGTTAAACAATTTTAAGTAGGGGCATTTTCAGTCAAAAGTGTTATCTACAATGTACATGTCCTGTCTTTAGTCATGTCCAGCGTAGTTTTTCACGTTTAACAACATTTGTAGTTAGTGTCAATGCAGTGTCCAACCATCTCTGATGACATGATCTCATAGAAGCCACACTCAGTCACCTATGGCACAGCTAAGCAACTTCAGAAACAACTCATGAATCACTTTCTACTTAAATATGAACATCAAACACATTGTCACCAACAGGAGCTGGCTGATCTCAAATGAATATTCCTTGGGAGAAAAAAACAAACCCAATCATTTTAACAATCCTGGATCAGAAGAATTTAAAAACAAATATGCTATGTAAGTACTGTTTTCTAATGAGATACAGATACCATCCTATTGTATAACTGCTGTTGTGGCATTTCAGCTGCACATAACATGTGTATGTATACTCTGATGGCATACTGAACCAGGGAACATGGTGACATCCAAGAAGCATTGAGATACTTTATCATCAGTCTAATCTACTCTTCTATACCAGAAGCCTGGATGCACAGCCATCTCAAGCTTATGTCTAAACCTGGGAAAGACCCTACTGATTGTAGTTACTGGATAATACTATGACAAAATGTAGATGGTACACTGCTAGAGGCAGTTTTAGGAAGAACAATTTCTGCTAGCATAGAGACATGCAGGTCTTGTCCACAATTTGGGCAGCTACAGATCACAGGAGATGGCATGAGGAAATAAAGGGACTCTTTGTTGAAAACAAAAAAATGTCACCGAAAGCTACTTTCTCATTAGACCAAGAGGATGTTTAGGAAGCGGCGTGCATTCTCAATAGACCAAGAGGATGCATAGAAAGCGGCGTGCAATCTCAACAGACCAACAGGATGCTTAGGAAGCAGTGTCCAGTCTCAACAGACCAACACGATGCCTAGGAAGCTGTGCAGTCTCAACAGACCAAGAGGATGCCTAAGAAGCAGTGTCCAGTCTCAACAGACCAAGAGGATGCCTAAGAAGCAGTGTCCAGTCTCAACAGACCAAGAGGATGCCTAAGAAGCAGTGTCCAGTCTCAACAGACCAACAGGATGCCTTAGAAGCAGTGTCCTGTCTCAACAGACCAAGAGGATGCCTAAGAAGCAATGTGCACATTTATTCAGAAGGTGGTGCTCATAAAAGCCTCGTTGAATATGCCTGGACCTGCCTCAGTGATGGTCGCTATTCAAATTTCTACAGCTGTGACCTGAATACAGCTAAATGATCTAGGCAGATGATTTTTTTTAGTCTACAAAACTGGATCAGATAGAAAGGAGTGAAATGGGCGACTGCTGTTGGAGGCAGTTTCATAAAAATGTGCACTCTAGTTCACAGGTCAATCTGAAATAAAACTGATTTTGTTGTGTGTGCTAAACAATGAATACAAATACGAGAAAAGACACTGCAGTAACAAAGAAATCCATTTGTCTTAAGTATACGCTAAAAATGTACACGGACAATACAAAGATCTCCAGGTAGATTAGCAGCCCTAGAAGCAAAAATTGATGCTCATATGAAACAAGCTCCTGTTCCCACACCTGGTGTTGAATGCAGTTTAAGAACACTACAATTAGAGCTCATCCATACTGAAAGCATACAGTTTTTTCTCAGATGCTCAGAGGATACACCCACTGTGATAATACGCATGGTCAATCAAATCACATCATGTGTGCATTTAAGTCAAAACAGAGGTTAAGTCCAATGACAAAATCACCCAAAGTCATAAAAACATGGATGGTGAGAACGGACGTTAATTTGAGAAGGATGTCATGGATTGCAGAAGCAGAGACTAGAATGAGGCCAGTGATGGCACTTAGAATACACACGTAGCAGACAGGATTATGGACACCGCCATGTGTTAATTTTCTGTGGTGATAAGGAGGGCAAACTGAGGCAGTAGTTCAGAAGCTGCCGGTGGATCACATAAGTGATTACAATGCCATTATTTTCATTAATATTTCACAAGGTGGTTAATGGCCAGAGTTTGGCAGAAGTTTAGAGAACAGGGTGGAGCTACCTGTGTGGCAACGTCCAATATAAGGATGGAGCTGGAAAACGACTGATAACTTGCAGATAATTTCTGACTCAAAATTAAAGAGGCAAACCTATGAAAACCCTTCAACATGTCAGCCATGTCCTGAGCATGGGGAAGTCCATGGCAATGAGTGGGCTGACTGGTTGGCTTCCAGAACACCTTATGTTATGCAATTTTCAACAGAGTAAATATTCAAGAATGGAAATAACTTGTGTGTGATGTTACAGCATGTGATGAAACAACAATGTGCAGACTTGTAACATGGTCACCAGTTCCATATCTGTAATAGGCCCACCAACACATGATGGTTGATGTGGTCAGTATCCAAGTCTTATAAACCACCCATTCATGTTCCTGTGAGCACATCCACCCATAAACAGTACAGACCTTGGAATGGTCCACTCTCATGTATTTCACCAAAATTTCATCACGCCTTATTTTATGTACAAATACAAAGTGTACTTTACACTAGGAATGCTGAAAAACTGGCAGCAACAGAACACATTTAAAGATCTGTGTAACTGTCAGAACAACTCCACTGTACAGCCAAGTGCTAAAAATGTGCATTGAAAACACAAAGTGCAACCTGAGAAGATAACTGCTGAGAGACTGACTGATATCATCACTGAAAACATTGTTAGCATCCAGGCAAAGACCAGAGACCCTGCCAGCAGTGCTGTTTGCTAATAATGTAAACAAAGAAGATGGAATCAGATATTCACATACCACATAAAGCCAGATGTTGCTCTAGCAGTGCAAGGCTGGCCTTATGAAATGCTGTGCTCATCTTTGCTACAATCTCCAGTCCAAGCTCAAGGTCTGTTATATATTATAGTTGTCAATCAAGGTCCCTGGTGACTAGATTATCCAGATGTTTGTGATCTCTTTTATGGCTGTGTCTTAGACCCGCTCCATGCAACACTAATTACACAGGCCAAACAAAAAAGGCTATTTATTTAGATGTTGTGTAGTTTAAAATGTGTGGTCAGCTGAAGTTACTAAAAACTTTCAAAGATTTGTCTCAACAGTGAAGTGACACAGCCATTTTACTTTCCAAATGAACTGGGTAACATGCGATAATTTACAGCTGTTCATCTTTGCAATCATTTTCTTTAGTGAGCAAATCACACAGCGTCAAGGTACACCACCTAACCCAGATGTAAGCCACTTTAGCAGGGCCTTGGTTATGATGTGACAAAACTCTGTATGTGTGGGTGAGAGAAAACCAGCCTGTCTTTATCTTAACTAGGTCTGTTCTAAACTGACAGATACAAAGATCACATTCCTTCAGTGATCCATTTATCAGAAATCTACAAGTGAACCAACTGCCTGTACTAGACTTGATCGATCATGAAATGATCAGTTCAACAAGAGCACTTTCCATTTGAAACACTATTCCAAGACAGATACTCTAGACAATACATGAAGTATGCAGATTCATTTTTAGCGTGTCTCACAGCCCAGTTCAAATGAACACTACAGGTTGTAAAAATGTCCACGAACATGTCAACAATTCTCTTATATAAAATAAACAAAGATTATAGCCATTATATAGGAATCCCCAAATAATGAAAAGGCATGCACCAAAAGATAATTATAATATTTTGGGTCCTCAGTAAATGTTTGTTTGACCTTACAGTACTCCCACCACCTCCCTCAATTTGTGGTGATATTCAACGCACACACACACAAATTATATACATATTTAGTGAATTTTTTTGGGAAATCCATGAGATAATTTAGAAGCTTTTCCTGTGTATGAAATTTGTGAAGAACGTGATAAAATCCTTATCATAGTTTCCATACGCAGACATAGGTTACATATAAGACACCGGTTTGGCCTGCACACTGGTAACTGCACAAGCAGTGTTAATTTTTGTTCTCCAACAAAACAATCCAGACAGATCCTACAACTGTCCTGGTCTCATCATCACATATGGCTGTGACCAAAAAAAGGCTGAAGGTTATCTTTAGAAATTTTACAGCAAATCAAAGACACAACAACAACAATAGCTGCAATGAACCTGGATTATGTTTTGCTGTTGTCTGCAGTAATATCTTGAAAGAGTACATCTGATTCTTTATATTGTGACAGATGTACCAACTGCACACAGATTTGTAGATTGTCTACATTAATATATGTCTGTGTGTATAAATAATCATTACTAAGAGGTCGGATTCTGTTATCTGTCCTGAGAAAATACAGGATTGGATTAATTTTCAACAAAAATGTGGGGTCAACACATTCAAAGCCAGCTCATGCTTCCCACCCTTTGGTCTATCCACATTTTCCATTGGACACAAAAGACCTTATGTTCACCAGCCTTGTCTGAGGAGGGAGGGACATCTGATTTACCATAGAATTAGAGGATGTGACCTCAAAGACACTGATATCCATGGGATCCCACTGCTATTTATCAGGTTAGAGGTGGACATGACATCATATCTCTAAAGCTTTCTCAGGCAGGTGTATAGTCTGTTGTGTTCAGTTCTAATACAGCAAAATAATATCAAATACACTTCAATTCACCACTAGTACATGACATTAAGTAACATTCATCAGCTTCTAACCGCATTTACTGTATCAATGCAAATGCCTCCACAAGTTTGTAAAAACATGCTAACATCATGCATGAATGACAAGATGGTAAATTAACAGATACAAAAAAATGACACTGAAGATACAATGAAGGTAATGCAGAAATAAAAATGTATGCTAATATTTATCTAGAAATAGCCAGAGCTCTACAACTACAAACCACGTTTGTAATCCTCATTAGCTGCTGACATAGCCTAGAACACAGCTGTTCGTTCACCGCCGGCACCCAACTTGTACAGGAACTTGAACACAGTATATGCCAGTTTGAATGACTAATATAACGGTTTGCAGCCCTCTTCTTCAAATTTTGCCCAGGCATCATTCAGCTCAATGAAAATCATCCTTGCCAGCGGTTGGTGTGGATCATCTGTCAGCTGAAATGAAGAGTTTGATCAACAAATGACTACATCTGGAAAAACCACAAGCAAAAGACAAACTTGACAGACTTTGTAATTTGTTAACGTTAAAATAATTCAATAATAATTACAAATTACTTATTTCCACTGCTCAGAAAAATAAGTGGTGATAATTATACATACATTTGGCTGAAAACTTAAGGAAAAAGAAATTAAACCAAAACTGAAAACAACTTAATTAAAAAGATTATAAAGTAAAAGCTAATAAATAATCTGGTTGAGTAAATAAATGTTAGACAGAAAGAGGACATTTTGTCTACTGAAATATAAGAAAGTTACAAAATCAACAACAACAAAACCAACAGTGATCTTACCTTATCTGGGTGTACAGACAAAACAGCCTTTCTATAAACCTTTTTCACTTGATCAGGGGTCACTAGTTGATGCATGCCAATTGGTTGCCAACGTTCCTCCTCATCCCATAGAACTGAGCCTAGTGAACACAGAAGAGCACGGATATTCTTTTCTTTTCCTTTGATCCAGTCCATCACCTGCAATATTGAACCAGAAAGTGTGAATGTAATCAATGATCACTGTGACAAGACATCATTCCAGCAACCAGCTCCAGACCATTTACTCACTGCAGATGCTACGATGTGAATGTAAAAAGTGACAAGAACAATTCCTACATTTGGATCTGTCTTTTTGGTGATGTAAAACTCAAATCATGAGAAATTTTGATCCACAAAACGAGGGTTCTATATATGTAGTGAGTCATTTTCTCCCCATTAAGTTATGCCCGATAGATGACGTCAGTAATAAATGTAAGGCGAATGTTTTGACTGACTGAGATAACACGAGATTTATGTCTTGAGTTTCATGAGAGACATCTGAAAGTCAGGTTTTATGTGAAACATGATTGTTCACTGAATAGTTCATTGGTAGCTACAACTTCAATAGTACATTGTTAACTGCAGATACTTAAATAGTTCACTGGTAGATACACACTTCAATAGTACATTGTTAACTGCAGATACTTAAATGCTTCACTGAACAATTGCTTAATCAGTGTGCATTCAATGCTAAAATTAATAGTGGGAACAGACAATCATTTACCAGATATCATGTCACGTTTGTAGAATATGTTGCAACTGCTATTACAACTTGTATTAACTGAAATCATTTTATGCAAGGGTATGCATTGTATTATTGTATGAATGTATTGTATGAATTTACAACTTGGAAAAATGTATATGTTTTGATTTGAACGGGTATAATATAGTAAACAATTAGGATTAAAGGGAGACAACATTCAGGGTTAAAATACACCTCACCAGAAAATGTTACATTTACTAGTATACTAAATTGAATTGGTGTAGCATTTAATTTGAATATGTGTGTTAATGAGACATGTTGTAGTTTCTGAAGACAAGGTAATTAACTACATCTTGTACCTTACATATTTGGGAGCAAAACCATACATTGCTGATTTAGCCATTGTTGAGGGCTTTCATGAATGGGAATAGCGAGGGTGGGACTTCATGGGGTCACATTTCAGTTTTAGAGCCAAGATTTTGGACTACCGCACCGATCGGGGGGTGCCTGGAGAGGGGTTCGGTTGTATACCGACTTTAGAACTGGGTGGGGATACCTATGGAGCCAGATTATTGGTCTTCCGCACTAAAAGGGGAGTGCCTGGGGTGAGGATCCCATTAAGGTATTCACAGTCGTGCAAAGACCCAACAGATGGCATTTTAGAGTGTTTGAATTGTTAACCTAATGAGGTAAAGGGAACTTGGTTGGAAATGAACTTGTCGAAAATGATTCACTGCAAAGGTCTAGAATCACCATGTTCAGTGAAATATTCACACCTGATTGATTGAAAATGTAAAACATTTTTTGGGGGTGGGGGAGAATGTAGTGAGTCATTTTCTCCCCATTAAGTTATGCCCGATAGATGACGTCAGTAATAAATGTAAGGCGAATGTTTTGACTGACTGAGATAACACGAGATTAATGTCTTGAGTTTCATGAGAGACATCTGAAAGTCAGGTTTTATGTGAAACATGATTGTTCACGTGAACCATGAAGGTTGACTGGCAGGATTCGTGTGAAATGCGAATTATCACGGGCCAGACACGACTTTCAACAGTGGGGAATTCGTGAGAATGAAATTATCCAGAATGTTCGAGAACATGACAGATCAGAGGGCTATATAATAGCGAAGAAAGGTTTGTGAGGCAGTCTCGTTTAGGCCAAGGGAAGGTGTACATGTGAAGAAGTTCGGAAGAATGTTGACGTCTAAATAGCGTGATTTCCCAATGCCTACCTGGCATAAAATAGCGGCTGACGGAAACGGTGGCCAGCTGTGAATGACTATCGTCTGGATGGAGGGAATTACTGTGTTTCGCTAAGTGGTGTGATGTATTCTACAATGTTACAAAGGTATGGTTGACTGTTTAGAGCATTGAATAAGTAATCGATGAGTGCTACGGTTGTGTATAAACATTTACTGACTGCAACATCAGCGAGTTAAAATAAATGGTACGTGTAACTTCTGCCAGCGTCCATGTTTTCTCGTTCTTGTCAGTCGGTGAATGGAAGGATGCGGTGACTCATTCGAGCCAGCAATTAATAACAATGAAGATCACTGCAATATATGAATGGTTTATCCCTTTAGAAGCAGAGGGACTGTCCAGTATTCTGTACCATTCTATACATAATACTTGTGAAACTACATTATCATTATGGCTAGCCCTTGTTTAGTAAGTGCGGGGCAGAGGTAAATGTTTATAAAAACTGAAATCAGTGGGGCCCTTAGATAAAACTACAACCAAAACAGCCTCTATCTGGATTGCTCCCTACTTTTAGTTGTCTGACTATCAAGTTTGGCCTGGAAGTTGTACCTCCTGAGTGAAAATCAGTGATGGTTAAGCCAGAAACTGGACAGCAAGGAGTTAAAATATCAAGAATGTAGGTTCTCATCAATCCACTCAGACCGAAATATCGATCATAGCCACCTTCAACTGATGAACTGACTTAAAACCACAATTCTTATATATTTTATGAATTTCAACCTTCAATGTCTTGAGCTGTTGAAGGAATTAGGTAAATGTGTGTCAGTGAACTAGTTAAAAGAAACATCTAAAAATACATTCAACAGTTTGTCACACGGAACTAAATGTCAGCAGCCGCTAAAACCCTCTCATTTAACCAGTTTGGGCTAGAAGTTCTGTTCTTTTAAGTGAAGATTCATCGATTGTGATTCTCTAGGTAATGTCTGCTTGTGAGGTCTGCATTTTTTACTTTATAATCCTGACTAGCCACTTTGGCTTTAGTGATGGTAGACCAAGGCACTAGCCACTTTGGCTTTAGTGGTGGTAGACCAAGGCACTAGCCACTTTGGCTTTAGTGGTGGTAGACCAAGGCACTAGCCACTTTGGCTTTAGTGGTGGTAGACCAAGGCACTAGCCACTTTGGCTTTAGTGGTGGTAGACCAAGGCACTAGCCACTTTGGCTTTAGTGGTGGTAGACCAAGGCACTAGCCACTTTGGCTTTAGTAGTGGTAGACCAAGGCACTAGCCAATTTGGTTTTAGTGATGGTAGACCAAGGCACTAGCCACTTTGGCTTTAGTGGTGGTAGAGCAAGGCACAAAGCGATTGGCAGTGACGATCTCTCCGTAGAAGCCATCAAAGCAGCTGGACAAACAGGAGCAAAATGTGAATTTTCCAGACGGCCTGGCTAGAACAAGAAAAACCAAATAACTGGCCAACAACAATAATGATACCGATATGGAGAAATAAAGGGAGTAAGAAAGAGTGCATTAATTACAGAAGAATATCATTATTAAGCCATGCAGGTAAAATGTCTGCCACATTAACTAAAGAAGATTAAGACCATTGGTAGAACAACAACTTTCAGAAGCCCTGATGGGTTTCAGACGTAACAGAAGCTGCACAGACGCAATAATGACATGAAGACAGTTCACTCAAAGAGCAATCAAGTATGATATGCAAAGTCACATGTATAGACCAGGACAAAGCATTTGACAGAATGGATAGGAGAATGTGCAACTGCTTCAGAAGATATGGAATCAGCAAACACCTAACTGAAGTGTGTAAGTGCTTATATACATCAAGTTGAATTAGGAATCAGCACATCACTCATGACACTCCCATAAGTGCTCAGTCCACCATCTTCAGCAGCTAGCGAAGTGTTCCAATTCCAATGGTACCAGTAACCATCTGATTGTATACATATCTCAACCTTCCCCTGAGTGTTGAGCGTCGGCGAGATCCCCTGTTAACTCCTCGCAGTGCCATTCTCCTCAGACTGTAATTATCTATCTGCGCATCCTCACTGTTCACTCGTTTCCAAAGGGCCCTCACAATATCTAGCTTGTCAAACATCAATTCACCGCCAAGTGGTGCAGAGCTGGCCAGTCTATCTGTCTGCTAATTTCCCAATACACCTGCATAACCTGGAGAAAATATACAAAGGATGCTAACTACCTGGGACCTCTGGAGTGATATTTGCCGCTCTGCACAAAGCATACCTATTTTCAACCTTCTCAACATGCTCTGTGAGTCAGTTACAATCATGGCATGTGTTTACAGCCGATTCTCAAGCCAGCGAAAGGCAGCAGAGACTGCCTCCACCTCCATTCTCAAACTGGACGACGTGATATCATATGCAAGGCTTTGCTGCACTAGGTGACGTCCATTACCCTTTGCTATGAAACCCCATGCACTTCCTTTGCCCTCAACACAGAGGGAATTGTCATGAATCATTTGTTAAACTTCTGATTCTACAGCACCAGCTGGCCAGTTCCTGCACTCACGACCTTACGTGATTAGAACCCTACATAAGTCTAAAATGAGTTCGGACACCTTGATCCACTTCTCTCCTCACTCAAAATTATCAAGCCTGAACACATGTCCAATTGTGTCTTCAACTTGCGCCATCCAAGACCTACTTCTTTTTTGGTCTGCTCTACCCAGGGCTTCTTAGAGGATCTGACCAGGAGAGCCGTGTGCAGAATAGTGAAGAGAAGGTAGGGGCAGAACATGAGTATTCCTGGCCATCAAAGGAGGCTTCCATAGGTTCAGTGCCACTACATGGAGTACCAGATTGGCACTCTGGCAATGGGCTCACCCAAGGAATCATCACGTCCTGCTCAGGACTGTTTAACATTAGAAGCCAGCAGGAGGCAGTCTGTGGACCTGGGATTTTGATTACCTACATAAAATGAGGGCTTTACTTCTTAGGCACATTAGACTTATTGTAGGAGTTCAATGCCACTTATAATTTTATTTGACATTTTCTACACAGATGCCTCCTCCTCCTTCTTCTTCACTTCCTCTTTTACTGCTGTGGGTGTCGAGGGAGATATAAGGTTCTGTTTCTAGCTCTTCTGGCCGCCTCGACCATAGGCACATCGTGCTGTTGTAGAGTTTCTCCGATTTTATCCTTCCATATTGTTCTTGGTCTACCTCGTGCTCTACGTCCTTCTTTCCTTTCCATGTATGCTTTGTATGGTTGGTGTCACAAGGCATTCTCTCTAAGTGGGCAAACCATTTCACTTGCTGTCTTCGTATGTAATTTAGAATTGGTTCTGTGCCGACTTTTTCTCTTATGTTCTCATTCCTGATCTTTTCTCTTATGGTCACTCCTACAGCCCTTCTCAGACAGCTCATTTCCATGGTTACTAATTTTCTTTTATGGTTTGTTGTGAGTGACCATGTCTGGCACTGGTAGCACAGAGTTGGAATAAATATGCTTTGAATAAGATGTCTCTTTGTGCTGATTGGGATTGTCTTATGCTGTAAGAGGGGGGCTAGCTGTCCCAATACTTGGTTTGCTTTGTTGCATCTAATGTTAGTTTCTTTATCCAATTTCCCATCTTCGGTAAATGTAGTTCCCAGATATTTAAACTCAGATGCCTATTTAAATGCCTTTGCACTCTATTGCTATGTTTAGATCTGTCTTCCTTTTTCCTATTGACATTACTTCTGTCTTTTCAGTGTTGATTCTCATATTATTTGTTTTACATTCTTCATTCATGGATGTTAGATGTTGTTGCAATTTCATGGCTGTATCTTCTATCAAGGCCTGGTCATCTGCAAAGAGTAATTCGTTGATCTTACTAACATTTTCATTCATGGGCTTGACATTCTTGCATATTCTGTCGATGTAGGTGATAAACAGCAGTGGTGATAAGACACATCCCTGTCTTACTCCAGATGTCACTGTGAATGGATGAGATGTTCCCTGATTTATTCTAACTACACTTCTACAATCCCTGTATAAACTTTTGCACACTTCGATGAGGTGTTCGCACAGATGCCTAGCGGCATTTAATGTGGCAATACATGGAAGATGGGTTTGGGTAATTTTTATTTAGAAAGCATTCTTGTGGCAAGGCTCACACACTCTCTCTCTCTCTTTCTATGCTCCAATCAGTACAGTCTTTAGTAGCAGACATTTAAACTTTTTTTTAAACATTCAGTGGGATTTTTGCTTGAATGGAATTGAATTTATCACTTTGTCGTGAACACAGAGTTGTCCTATAGTAGAAATCTTGTTCAATGGGTCAAATAAGTATTTTTTTCTTCTTTAAAGCCCCCCCCCCCCCCTCCCCCCGACACTGGAGTTCAAGGACATGTGCAGATAAGTGAATATATTTTATCCTGATAGTAAAAGTCATATTTACTAAGTGTGGAGTTTTCTCCCAAGTAATCTGGGCTCTCGGGTTGACCTAGCCTAAAAACTGATACCAGGGACAGAGAGGTTCAAGAGACTGTACATTACACATTTTTGTGAGTTAAAGATAACAGAAACAAATGAGAGAAAGAGACCACACACATTTTATATTTTAGAGACCACACACATTTTATATTTTAGAGACCACACACATTTTATATTTTAGATACCACACACATTTTATATTTTAGATACCACACACATTATATATTTTAGAGACCACACACATTATATATTTTAGATACCACACACATTATATATTTTAGAGACCACACACATTTTATATTTTAGATACCACACACATTATATATTTTATATACCACACACATTATATATTTTAGAGACCACACACATTTTATATTTTAGAGACCACACACATTATATATTTTATATACCACACATTATATATTTTAGAGACCACACACATTTTATATTTTAGAGACCACACACATTATATATTTTAGATACCACACACATTATATATTTTAGAGACCACACACATTATATATTTTAGAGACCACACACATTATATATTTTAGAGACCACACACATTATATATTTTAGATACCACACACATTATATATTTTAGAGACCACACACATTATATATTTTAGAGACCACACACATTTTATATTTTAGAGACCACACACATTATATATTTTAGAGACCACACACATTTTATATTTTAGATACCACACACATTATATATTTTAGATACCACACACATTATATATTTTAGATACCACACACATTATATATTTTAGAGACCACACACATTATATATTTTAGAGACCACACACATTATATATTTTAGAGACCACACACATTATATATTTTAGAGACCACACACATTATATATTTTAGAGACCACACACATTATATATTTTAGAGACCACACACATTATATATTTTAGAGACCACACACATTATATATTTTAGAGACCACACACATTATATATTTTAGAGACCACACACATTATATATTTTATATACCACACACATTATATATTTTAGATACCACACACATTTTATATTTTAGATACCACACACATTATATATTTTATATACCACACACATTATATATTTTAGAGACCACACACATTATATATTTTAGAGACCACACACATTTTATATTTTAGAGACCACACACGTTATATATTTTAGATACCACACACATTATATATTTTAGAGACCACACACATTTTATATTTTAGAGACCACACACATTTTATATTTTAGATACCACACACATTTTATATTTTAGATACCACACACATTATATATTTTAGATACCACACACATTTTATATTTTAGAGACCACACACATTTTATATTTTAGATACCACACACATTTTATATTTTAGATACCACACACATTTTATATTTTATATACCACACACATTATATATTTTAGAGACCACACACATTTTATATTTTATATACCACACACATTTTATATTTTAGATACCACACACATTATATATTTTAGATACCACACACATTATATATTTTAGAGACCACACACATTATATATTTTAGAGACCACACACATTATATATTTTAGAGACCACACACATTATATATTTTAGATACCACACACATTATATATTTTAGAGACCACACACATTATATATTTTAGAGACCACACACATTATATATTTTAGATACCACACACATTATATATTTTAGAGACCACACACATTTTATATTTTAGAGACCACACACATTTTATATTTTAGATACCACACACATTATATATTTTAGAGACCACACACATTATATATTTTAGAGACCACACACATTATATATTTTAGAGACCACACACATTTTATATTTTAGAGACCACACACATTTTATATTTTAGAGACCACACACATTATATATTTTATATACCACACACATTATATATTTTAGAGACCACACACATTTTATATTTTAGAGACCACACACATTATATATTTTAGATACCACACACATTATATATTTTAGAGACCACACACATTATATATTTTAGAGACCACACACATTTTATATTTTAGAGACCACACACATTATATATTTTAGAGACCACACACATTTTATATTTTAGATACCACACACATTATATATTTTAGATACCACACACATTATATATTTTAGAGACCACACACATTATATATTTTAGAGACCACACACATTATATATTTTAGAGACCACACACATTATATATTTTAGAGACCACACACATTATATATTTTAGAGACCACACACATTATATATTTTATATACCACACACATTATATATTTTAGATACCACACACATTTTATATTTTAGAGACCACACACATTTTATATTTTAGATACCACACACATTATATATTTTATATACCACACACATTATATATTTTAGAGACCACACACATTATATATTTTAGAGACCACACACATTTTATATTTTAGAGACCACACACGTTATATATTTTAGATACCACACACATTATATATTTTAGAGACCACACACATTTTATATTTTAGAGACCACACACATTTTATATTTTAGATACCACACACATTTTATATTTTAGATACCACACACATTATATATTTTAGATACCACACACATTTTATATTTTAGAGACCACACACATTTTATATTTTATATACCACACACATTTTATATTTTAGATACCACACACATTTTATATTTTATATACCACACACATTATATATTTTAGAGACCACACACATTTTATATTTTATATACCACACACATTTTATATTTTAGATACCACACACATTATATATTTTAGATACCACACACATTATATATTTTAGATACCACACACATTATATATTTTAGAGACCACACACATTATATATTTTAGAGACCACACACATTATATATTTTAGATACCACACACAATATATATTTTAGAGACCACACACATTATATATTTTAGAGACCACACACATTATATATTTTAGATACCACACACATTATATATTTTAGAGACCACACACATTTTATATTTTAGAGACCACACACATTATATATTTTAGAGACCACACACATTATATATTTTAGAGACCACACACATTATATATTTTAGAGACCACACACATTATATATTTTAGAGACCACACACATTATATATTTTAGAGACCACACACATTATATATTTTAGAGACCACACACATTATATATTTTAGATACCACACACATTATATATTTTAGAGACCACACACATTATATATTTTAGAGACCACACACATTATATATTTTAGATACCACACACATTTTATATTTTAGAGACCACACACATTTTATATTTTAGATACCACACACATTATATATTTTAGAGACCACACACGTTATATATTTTCAGAAACCACACACATTATATATTTTAGAGACCACACACGTTATATATTTTCATGAGTTACACAATTTTGGTTTGAAATGATCAATATTGTTACCCTCAGTTTATCTGGATCCATTTCCTCAACCAACAGCTTTTTCTTCATGTCTCCCAGAGTTTTGGGTTCATTGTCCTTGCGACTTGTAAACTGTTCCCCTAGTAAATCATTGAAAGTATCTGCTGACACTTTAGGCTTTGGTCCTGTTGAAATATTTAATGAGCCTTAAGTGACAGAAAGATACATAAGAGATGAAAAGCCTGTTTGCTGACATCAAGGTCACCAATTAAAAGTATTGTAAAAAGGAAAAAAATCCACATGACTGAATCTGTATCTTCAGGTATGGTGGGTTCATTGTTTATTTTAAGATCATCCCCACTGCACGTCAGGCACACCCATAAGTGCTCAGATCTTCTCCAAAGTATGTTTGTTAATGTGTTTATGCTGACGACTCCCATTCTGTGTTGTCTGATGTAGCGACTGTAACGTTTTGCATGGTTTTCATGCCGAGCTGCTCCAAATGATATAGCAAAGCTAGACCTCGCAATCGAGTTAGAGAGAAATTATTATCTTCACATTTGAGACCTTCAGCAAGTGCTGCCTCGCGTATAAGCATTGATTATGTCCATTTTGTCCACAGAAGCTCCATTTCCTAGGGTGGCTTTGCCTTCAAGCTTATCCCCCTCTCGCTGCCATTCGCAGGCATGTTCAGGCATGGTTTGTTTGCAGACTATGCACAAAATAAAAAATAGTTGCTGGGCATTGTATAAGCCATGATTTGTGCCCCACCTCTGACAGATGAGAAACCTGAGCTTGTGAGGAAAGACACATGCCCTTTGATGAGTGAGGCAGGTTTCCTATCTCTATACCAATACAAAAGCTGAACACACACTAGACTTTTATCTTTGCTAGCACCTCAAAGTTTCCATGTTTGTGGATACCCAGTGATGATCTTTAATATGTCCAGACAAAGTACACATTACTGTGATAGAAAATTTAAACAAAACGCCTGCCTTATTTTCCTTTTAGATCTAATCCCCAGTTGTTCTGAACTACATTCCTGGGGTCATATCTATAGAAAACATCTTGTGCAGACAGTTGTGATTATAATGCTGGAAGAATTTACGTATTATGCTACCATAGTGTTGTAGCCTGAAAAGAAAAAAAAAACCGCAGTATGAACATAATATATTTCACATATTTCACACTGAACAGATCATCCCATTTCACTTGTATGTCATCAACAGAATAATCAAAAAGTCATTAGTTTTTGAATCACCAAATTCAACATCTTGTTTCACTAGTAACACTTTAGAAAAATTTTCTTGGTTCTAATATGCTTTGTTCACAATAATAATTAATAAATTTTACATTATTGTTAATTCCATGGGCGCTGCTATTGCCAACTAAATTTGTCTGTACTTCTGTCACCTTTATTTCTATATCTGCCCCTGTGTAACCTGGATGACTCACACAAGGAGAAACTGCTAAACAGCTTTCAGCTAAGATGCCTAAGAAGAATACCTGGCATCAAGTGGCAAGACAAGAACACAAACACTGAGAATAAATTATACTACAGGAATGTTGGACAGTGTTCAGCCACTAACACCTACTTGGTCTTTTATAATTAATATATGCCGTCTGTCCTTACCAAAGTTTTTTCTGGGTCCTCTGTCAGCACGGTCCCCTATGACACTGGGAAAGTTCTGTTTTGTAGATGCTTGCTGCTGCTGCTGTGGTGGTGGTCGGTGCTGTGGTGACTGTTGTTGTGGCAGCTTCGCTTGTGGACTCACAAAAGGGGCCTGAAAACCGGCCGGTCCCTGACTCCAACTTTGCTGAAAACCTGTTCAGATAAAAATAATGAATAGCTAGCATACAGACATCACTCTAGCATACTTATCTACTGGCCTTGTAATCATAGGTTGCAATCTCCAATGAGGTGGATTGTCTAAACTATATTAGGTTTCCAGTTTGAACCAGCTCAAAAACAAGTACAAGGAAATGCTCTGAGAAATAAAGGTTTCCATGATGAAACTGACAACACCACCCACTGAGGACCAAATGATATCTATAAATATGGACCCAAGGCACTGTCAAACCCCTATGCTCATTGACTTGCCCACATCATGTACCCCCAAATGTAAATTAACTAGTTTCAAATATGAAATCTTCTTCCATAAGTAAATAGTCCTTCTTTGATAAGTAAAGGTCAAGATGTCAGGAAAAGTACTCTACATTCCTAATTCTATTAGAGGTGAATTATATAGTGAATTCACTCACAGTAAGTGATTTTTAGTAGTAGAAAAGTCTTTTTCCAGGGCTGAACTACCGCTTTATTGCACAGAAGGAATTCTTCCTGCTTCTGACTTGGGAGACGTTTGAATTTGTAGCATCCTTCTAGACACAGCTTACAGAGCCAGCAGACGGCCAAATGCCTTTCCTGTCAACTCTATCAGTATCTATTTTGAAAGTCTCAGTTTCACCCAGAACTTCATAAGAGCATGGGTAAGTCATACTTTAAAATAACTGAATTTACTTGGTTGAAGTTATTTTTTCCTGCTACTGGGAATAAGACCAGTGTAGCTGGGGGAAACTGGCTGAAAAAGCCGCCTGATGACTCAACTGAAGGAACGCTCTAGCCGAAGAGTTTCACCTACATGCCGATGAAAGATTATTTAGTTTAATGACAGTTACAGTTGTTTTAATGGTAGCTACAGACCACTGAGAACAACATTGAAACATGCTACAGCATCTACATTTGATTTATAAATACCACTGCTAAAGCAAACCTTGCTAAAGTGACACTGACATGACAGATTACTGACAATCATGACCAGTATCAGTGTCTCTGAATGAAATGAAAAATATGAGGAGGACTTGGAGTCAGCCAATGACAGGTCAGCCTGGCACAATTTGATTGAGGGTCTATTCTATCAGGGAATAAAGGGCAGAAGGAAAAGTACCATCTGTCACACCATACTTACTATACAAGTATCAATAATGCAGGAGTCTGGGCAAGCAGCAACCACACAAATGTTTAAACATTTAGATGACATAAACTGAAAACATTTTGAAATGTTTCTGAAATATCTTTAAATGCCACCCAAATTAACTGAGCTCTCACAAAGTACCTGGTAATGGTCCTCCCATCCCCATGTGCTGTGTTTTCTGTGATAAGTTTGATCCAGAGCCTTTAAAAGAACTTTTGTTTCCTAAATTTGCTGTTGAAGAGATAAACAACAATTATTGACATTTTTTTTGTTTTAAACAGAAAAAAAAATGTTATTATGCTCCTTCTAGGCACTGGTTTGGAGCCTACTGACACTGAAATGCCTAAAACTAATGACATAAACATTACCCTCCTAAGCATAATAATCTTAGCTAAACGTCACCTAGGCCTAATCACAACTAAACATTACCTAGGTCTAACCTCAATTAAACATGACCTAATCTCAGCTAAATATGACCTAGATCTAATCTCAGCCAGTCTTATGCACTGTGCAGAATCATGACCTGGAATGCCTCTGTGATGTTCCAGTATCTCTTACACATCTCCCACTGTTTTGTGAACTTGAGAGGGAAAGGAGCATTCTGTAACAATCCTTATGGAGGATACTACTTTGGTACCAGCCTGGGAGGAAAGTGTCTCTAAACAAGCCTGGCTCCAGTAGGGAAAAGCCCTTTTCAGTTTAAGCATCCAGAACCTTGATGCATGTCTTGAGATTTTAGACTTGGTCTTCAAAAAGATTTGCCAGTCAACCAGCCAATGAGATAATTAATTCTGAATGCTGAAAAGCTTCATAAACATTTTTTTTTCAAAGTTGAGGAAACACGAACAGTGCATAAAGCTGAATATATGCAAAACTGCCAGTGCCATGTCACAAGGAAACTTCTTTCTTTTTTTTAAAATCATGATGGGATGTCTGTATCTCTAATCCATACTACTCTCATGTGCTTTCTATTCTTTATTTAAAGTGTTCTTGTCTGTTAGATGTTCGTTCACCAAACAAGATTCACAAACCTGAAATTATGCTTAAACTCTCACCCTATACCACAAGTACTTGGGTTTACACCAGGTGTGGGGAACATTCAACCTGTGGGCTGTATATGGCCTACTAATTCATTTGGTAAGGTGTCATTACAGACACAGGACTACAGGTTACACCTGGCTGGTGTAACCGTTATGGGTGTCCCAATTATAACATCTTTTGGAGGTTGATCTGGGATCTACCTTGTTGGTCTGTCATGCAGATTGAGATGTGCTAATCTCAGTTCTGAGGGGCCGCACGGATGGATCAACTGATTTAGTCAAGCCCTGCCTTGGTATATCATTACATCTGTGACCAGATATATAGCAGGCTCATTGTTAAGTTTATAGTTCTTTATGGTCCGTCCACTAATGATATTTATATGCTCACAGAGATGACAGTATGCTATTAACCACAGATAAAGAGAAGGATGAGGCTTTCCTGATGAGGTTCCTTTCACAGACAGACCACAATGATGGAGATAATAGAGATACAGTTAGAGAAGATCTGGCAGCCAACTTAAAGAACAAACATTTTGAAGACTTACAAGTAGAAGATGTAAAACATATTCTGAAAAGGGCGAAAGACACTGCACACGGGTCCGAAGGGGTTAGATATTCCCACATGAAAGACATCAGCGATGTTGACCTGGTGGAGATGACTGCTTGTCTGAACTATAGCATTAGGACAGCTTCAGTCCCACAAGAGTGGATGCACAGCTACCTCATTCCACTTCCTAAGCCTGGCAAGGATCATTCAACACGCAGCTGCTTTAGGATGATAACCCTAAAAAACACCTTTGGTAAAAGTGTTGGAGAAGATAATGGTGGGTAGGCTACAAGAATTAAATCTCCTTCCACGAGGATTGGGAAGTTACCGGCTGGGGAAGAACCCATGGTCAAATGTAGCCATTTTTGCCTCTGACACCTTTGAAAGTTTCCAGAACACACAGGCAATGGTGGAAGCGACACTTGATTTAGAAGATGCTTACAAAGAGTCAGATACAGTATCTTGATGAAAACTCTTATGGAGACATGTCCCATTGCTACAGTATTTAGTGTGTAAGAGAAGGAAAGTGCTCCATACAAATAGATACTATCATACAATGGCTAAGCTACATTTAGATCATTGCAGCTATAGTCTGAATATAACTGTACAAAGTAAATAGTGTGTGTGTAATGGTCCATTTTTCTGAAATTGTTTTCCTGTGAATCCTTGTTCAGCACTCTGTTGGAACTTAAAGCCCCTGAGTGCTAAACTAACCCAGAAACTTGTCATAACTTTGGAATTTGTTAGGAAATTGAACAAACTTTAAAGGGTCATTCTCAAATTTGGATATTCACTACTCTTGTCGCTGCAAAAACACGGTAAGTTAAGAAATATTTTTTGTAAAATTTTGTTGTGAAATTAACACCTGCAGAATTCTTCTTTCCTATCAACTATACCAGTATTAAACATACACTTATCATCAGATTCAAAATGTACATTGATTTCTCTTTTTAAAAAAAATATATACTTTTGTAGGGATTAGAAGTATATTACTTTCCCTATTGCCTTTTTTGTATACCACTCCAAATGCCATTTTTGTAAAGGGAAATTAATATGGGCAACTCAGGCAAAATTCATGGGCCTGAAAGAGTTAATCCTCTAAGATAAATAAATGACAGAATTAGTAGGAAATGAAGAACAAGCAGATTTAGTTGCAACTTGTATTTAAAGGTTAGGGGTTTTATATCACTGAAAACATCTGAAAGCTTTCATTGTGCAGTGTAGTGCTTCATTACTTATCTTTGTCTGAAGTTTGTAGTTAAACACTTACCTAAATCTGCAAATGGATCAGTCTTGGGCATCTGACCTAAGCCACTGCCCATTCCCAGAAGTCCTGACTGCGGTGAACTCCGACCTCCCTGGGCATCCAACATGCTGCTAAAATTCATGGCTGAGCCAGTACTAGCACTTTTATGCATGCTTCCAAAACCAGGACTTAAGTTACTGGTGGCTGTGAATGCACTAGTTTGTTGACGGACATTTTTTATACTTGATGCAGTCCAATTCGTCATTAAGTCTGGTTCGTCATCTTTGCCTGATGAATGTGTGCCTTCCATGAAGGCTAAGAAATCATCATCTGTGCTGGGAGGCTTCGCATTTTGTGAAGAACTAGTCTGTGCTGGAAAAGCTGTGTTACCTGACTGACTGTCACTGGGGAAGTTCTGGAATGGATCAAAAGTGTTGCCCGAAGATGGATCAAGTGATGTCATAAGGTCTGGTTTGGTGGGTGTCACTGCAGGACCTGCAGAAAATTGCTGGAAGGGTTCAAATGTATCATCTGCTGCAGACATTCCCAAAAGATCAGGCTCACGAGCACCTGTAGACTTCTGACTGGAGTCATGCCTACTGAGTAAATCAAAATTAGAAGCATCACCGCCAATGTTCAGCAAGTCTACTTGGTCAGAATATGATTTGTCACTGGTTATATTGAAAAGATCCACCTCATCATCTTTGTTAGTGAAATCCTGGCTACTGAATTCACTGCTGAAGAGATCTGCTGAGCTGTCATCCTTTCTCTTGGAAACATCGGCAACAGCCTCATAACCAGCAGGCACTTCACTGACACTGGCATCTTGCCTAAGGTGAGCAAAATTGTCATCTTCATCAGAATCATTGTTAAGAAGCCCCAAATGTGATTCTGATGGCTCGGCATGATGACTTCCCTCAGCAGTGTCATTACTCCACTGCAGTGAGGAAAAGAAATTGTCATTTCCTCCTGCATTTCCATTAGCTGACGGGATTTGTGGTTCATCTTTCTTTTGCTGCTGTTGCCCTTGATGTTGATTTGGTTGCCTGTTCGGTGTACTGGGTGAATCTCTGACTGAGTCTGTATCAAAGCTGGAGGCTCGACTCAGTCGACTCTTGGCTGTTTCAGAAACACCTAAAAAAAAATCAATTAAAAAAAAATAATTAGGAACAAACAATATATTGTAGTTTATTGCCTGGCATATTTCAGTGTATCTCAACATGTTGTATTACAGAATCTAGATCAATAAAAAATGAATCTTTTTTTAAATGTTAATTCACAAATCACAGAGTTCATTGTTGCACTGTACTTCTCCCCATGGCGATTTCTCTTTTCAAGCATTGAGCCAAAGGCTGCAATCTTGTGTATTGATGCAGATACTGCAGCTAAACCACAAACATTGAATGTCAACCACCTTTTTAAGGGTGAATGAAGGAGAAGAAGAAGAAGAAAAAGAAGAAGAAGAAGAAGAAGAAGAAGAAGAAGAAGAAGAAGAAGAAGAAGAAGAAGAAGAAGAAGAAGAAGAAGAAGAAGAAGAAGAAGAAGAAGAAGAAGAAGAAGAAGAAGAAGAAGAAGAAGAAGAAGAAGAAGAAGAAGAAGAAGAAGAAGAAGAAGAAGAAGAAGAAGAAGAAGAAGAAGAAGAAGAAAAAGGAAGAAGAAGAAAAATAAGAAAAAGGAAGAAGAAGAAGAAGAAAAAGAAGAAGAAGAAGAAGCAGAAAAAGAAAAAGAAGAAAAATAAGAAAAAGGAAGAAGAAGAAAAATAAGAAAAAGGAAGAAGAAGAAGAAGAAGAAGAAGAAGAAGAAGAAGAAGAGGAAGAAGAGGAAGAAGAAGAGGACAAAGAAGAAGAAGTCGATGATGATTAACAAAAACAAGATCAAGAGTTAACGAAGATAGAAGCAAATGATAAAATTGTAGTTTGCTCATTTTCCCCATTCTTATACACTGCCTTTGTTATATTTACAATTTTAATTCATTCTATTCTTAAAAAATTATTATGATCAGTTAAGACACTAGATACAGACAATAACAGATTAGTAAACTTAAAAGTAACACCAACAATGCATGATGGAACTCTATCCCTAAACATAATTTAAAAAAGAAATATGTAACCAAGTAGAAAGTTTGAAGTAATAGCCAGTTTTTTTAGCAAATCCTTACCAAATTCAGAGAAGATCTGATGAGCTTCTTCTTTAGAAGAAAATAGGATTTTTGGTGTGAGTTTCTCAGCTGGGAAATTTTCCCATGGCAGACGTCTATCTCCATAACTCTTCTCACTTGAAGAAACTGTAACGTCTAAGATTACGGTAAACATTTCTGGATATTTTTCTGAAGTGTCAAGCTGATCCAGCTCATATCTGTAGAAGTTATTCAAATGTGTGTTAAGAATAATGAACAAGGAGCAAGTTTCAATGCTGATTGCACTGTCTGTCATGTTCAGTACAGATGCAGGGAAACAGTGAGACTTCATGGCATTATAGAGAGTCAAAGCTGAATTCAACTTCCCTCTGGGCATGTGGTTGGTGTCTGTTGACAATGAAATATCTAAGACCACGAACGAAACATTTCCAATCTAGGAATAATTTTGACAATACAGTATGTGCTGTGTTGAATCTTGCCCTGGTCACATAGAAAAATGTCTTTCTCTGCCAATGTCAAGTTCCAGTAAACAACTGGACTTTTAGAGAGAGGAAGGATAGCAATGCAACATAGTCCCTCTCTGTGAAGATGGAACATGGGTACAGAGCCAACAAGAAAGTCTCTACACAAGCCTCGTTCAGATAGTCGCATGACCTTTTTGTTTTGTCAGTTGCATCAGACTTAACTCTTTCAGGACCACATTTTTTGGGGGGGTTTCGACAGCATTAATTTTGAGTGGATTTTTTTTACTGCAACATGACAAGGCTAAAATCTTCCTGAAAGAAAAAGTATTGGCTGTATACAGACATATAATATTTCAAATTAAAGAGAAATGAGAGCAGAATAAATCTAAACTATTTAAGTGTCAGTATTACAACAAAATAAAAATATTATTAAAATCACACAACATTCAAGGATGTTAGACACATATGAAGATTATTTACGCACAAATTTGTTTATATTTCAGATTTAGCAACAACCAAAATCGGGAAAACAGCTGATTGAAACAGATGATCCGACTGAAATATTTTGTTGAGTCTTCACTCTAACCCTGTTTATCGACACAGGTTTGGCACATGACATTATCAATCATAACATTTTTGTCCATATCTGGCTGAGATTCAACGACAGAGCAGTATAAACAATTCTAGACTTTTCCTTTATCATTTGATATAGAAAAATCACGTAAAAATTGTATCGCATGCAAATAATTTTTGTTTCAAATCAGAAAGTGATGCAAATACAATGCCGACTTCCTGTCGCTAATCCTACTTTTTAAAAACAGTTCGTATAAATTTGGTTTTCGCAGCAAACAGGACAAAATTAGTGTGTCTTTATGAAGTGCCAGTAAACTGATCAACAGCCTGATCGGGATAAATTAAAATGCCATTTAACAGTATATTAGTATAAACAACAATGCAAACATCTTCATTTATTCACAATAGACAAAACACAGACAAGGACAAGCGAAGAAAATGTGTAACTGAGAACTTATCTTACTGCTCTGAAAACCAATAGGACTCATGAAGGAAACTAATCATTACATTTCATTGAGCCATCATATTAGAACAGATCATGCTGTGATTGTAAACAACTCACAGGGCATGTTGAGAAAGGTGAAAACAGGCATGCTGTGTGCAGAGTGGCAAGCATCACTTTAGTAGTCCAGGATAGTTAGCATCCTTTAGATATTTTCTCCAGGTGATGCCAGTGTGTTGGGAAATGAGCAGGCAGAAAGATTGACTGGCTCTGCACCACTTGGTGGTGAATATATCTGACATCACACTGTGACTAAAAGAGGATGATATAGTGGTCCACTTCAGCAATGATGAAGAAAAAAACCTAATCATTGCAACACTGACTATTTGCTGATGAACAAAATCTGCGACCTGCAAGCGGATGACTCACTACTTATGGCAGGCTCTATCATTAATGGTAACAAACATTACATTTCGCAGTGAGAAGAACAAGTCTCAGTAAGTGACAAAACTAGCAGACTGCTTAACAACACACATAAACATACAAGCATACATGGATATATGTTTACACAGATATTTTCACTGGTATTATTACAAATGAGCCAGAAGAAGAAAGCTGTAACAAATCAAGAGACCAACATTATACACTTACTGGTGATACTGAAGCTCTGTAGTTCCTTCAGGGACAAAGCCAGTAAAAAACTGTACTTGGAACATCTTCACTGGAGTTATCTGGACAAATGTGACAATTCAAAAGAGAAGCAAATTTCAAACAAAATAAATAACTTTACAATTACATGACATATGGCCTGCAACAACAACAACAACAAAACAAGAGGTATAAATAAACATATGGCTCCCTGCTGGGTGAATCAGGTCCCTTCTGTATTTCTGAGTCCATCTGGTATTTCTTTAATTGGACACTTTGTGTTGTGCTTGTTTATTACAGAATCGCTATATTTTTAGTTAGTTAGTTAGTTAGTTGGGGGGTTATCCTCATTGCACTCCGGACATGTCCATAGGTGCTCAGATCCTCCCCTCAGTATGAATCCCAACGTCCGATGGCTAATAGTACCAGTTCTATGTTGATTAACAAGTCTTCTGGCGAGTCTGGTGTGCGTCTCGCTATATTTTTATCCTCAGCCAACACACCCATCATTTGTTGGCTGGGTTTTCCACTGACTTGGAAAACATAAGCCATGTAAGAAAAACAGCTATCACTGATGCATAACTCAGTAAATTTGACAATGATATTGCTGGCCTACAGAAAACATATCTGCCAGAGGATGGATCCACAGAGAAAATAATTATACATTCTTCTGAAAAGGCAGAGGCCAGGAAGAAATCCAGAAGGATGGAGTTGGAAAATATAATGCTGGTCTCATGAATTAAAATTGGCAGAGACTATTGGAATTGTACACTAGAAGTGAGCTGTGCATCACAAACTCCTTTTTCAAAACTGAAGACTGCCATAAGGTGTCATGGAAACACCCAAGATCTTGCCACTAGCACCAAATGGACCTTATTCTCACAAGAAGGCAGCACTTAAACTATATATCACTAACTCGCAGCTACTACAGCGCTGACTGTAATACTGACCCTTCCCCAGTTGCCACAAGAAATCAGATGAAACCAAAGAGAATTTCCCTTCAAAGCAAACATATCTCCAGGTAAATTTTTATAAAGACCCCAAAAAGTGTTTTGAGTTCCAACAACAGCTCGAAGATGCTTTCACTGATATCAAGGAAGCTTAAAATAGGATGCGTTTAAGGAGACTGTCTACAAAACAACTGCATCAGTCTATGGGATTAAAGTACACAGAAGTAGGGACTGGTCTGAAGCAAATAGCCACTTCAATCCTTAATTGACAGCAAAAAAGTTTATACTTCTCAGAAACAAGGAAAGACAACAAGGAATACTCATTGATATCCAGGATAACTCCACTTCTTCTTCTTCTTCTTCTCAAAGAAGATGTCTAACCCAGCCTTTCTAATGCCCAATGGAGCACAGGTCCTCAGTCAACTCATGCCAAGGGTGATCAGAGTGACTGAAATAACTACAGGCGAATATCACTGCTGTGTACTGCTGGAAAAGTATTTGTGAGAGTTGTTCTGCGAAGACTCCAGATCCTAAAATGTCAGGTTTATCCAGTGTCACAGTGTGGCTTTCGTTATAACCAGTCTATCACAGATATGATATTTTCATTACGACAGTTGCAGGAAAAATGCGGTGAACAAAATCAACCACCATATATTGCTTTTATTGATCTCACCAAGCCAAGATTTGGTTCGTCAAAAAGGTCTGTTCAACATGCTGAAGAAGACTGGGTGTCCACCTACCGAACATTACTGAGTAGTTCCACACAGGTATGAAAGGTACAATCAAATTTGATGGTGTTATATCAGAGGAGTTTGTAATCAACAATGGAGTTAAGCAGTGATGTATACTTGCTCTTAGCCTTTTTGGAATATACTTCTCACTTTTTTTTGGGAAACATGCATTTTGAGATCAGGAGGGTGGTATATTCATTTATTTTTAACAGGACGGCAGCCCTTATAGTGCTCATAGGCTAAAGGCCCAAAACCAGAATAAGAAGGGTCCTTATCAGAGAGCTGCTGTTTGCAGATGACGCAGCAATTACCACCCACTCAGAGGAGGAGCTGCAATGTTTACTATCTGCATTTGCTGATGCGTGCTGTGAATTTGGACTTACAATCAGCAAAAAGAAGACAAAGGTTTTGGTGCAAGGTGTTAGTACCAAACCTACAGTCTACATTGATGGTGAAGAACTGGAGATAGTTGACCATTTTACTTATCTGATAAATAACACATTATCGTTGAAACAGGAGAAACTGCTAAATATCTTTCACATGTGATGCCTAAGTAGAATACTTGGCATTAAGTGGCAGGATAAGATCACAAACACTGAGGTTTTGGAAACAGCAGGTATTACAAAAGTATTCTCAGTGCTCCGTCTACAAAGCCTCAGGTAGCTGGATCACACCTGGAGAACTGAGGATGGCAGAGCCCTTAAGGACATCCTTTATGGTGACTTAAAGATGGGTGGTAGATGTCGATGGCGACCTGTGTGTGGTTATGTTGTGTGGAAGGGGGACATCAGGAAAGGAATGAGAATGAAGGAAGAAATGATTGCAGAAACTATGAGAGCTGAGCATCTGAGAAGATACACTCTAAATAGAAATGATGACAACAACGATCCTAAAATCTCATGCTATAATTTTCTTTTGTTTGGAAAGATTTTAGCTAACCCTTGCAGTTTTGAAGGGTATTCTTTGGCCTCAATGCTACAGCACATGCTGCAGTTCCATCCATATTCGCAGTTGTTGCACGTTCTATGTTTTGTTCATAAGGTGGAGAAAAAAATGACATGTGCCTCTATTTGCTGTTGTCTCTGTGTGTTAGCCTCTTTGAAAACATTTAGCTTATTATTCTGGCCACCCAAGTTATTTTCACTATACTACTATGAAACAACATACCTGTATGTTTCCATTTTTGTATTGTTTCCAGATTCAGTGCAGTGTTAATATTGGTTCTACATTTTACATGAAAGAAAATGTTTTTCTAACTTTCAATGACAGGGACTTACTGCAAAAAATGTTCAGAGTCCGGATATTTAAAAAAAAAAGTTTGTTCCAACTGCAGATCTAGATACTGCAGACACAGTAAGTTATGCCTGTGACCTGGTCACTCATGTTCCACAATGGACAGCTAGTTTACATAACACAACACAAGGCTGTTCAAAACAATTACTGCAAACATACTTGGGGATGAGTGAGAACAACAGGATGATCAAGAAAAGATAACCATTGCTTGCCACAAACTAACCTAGCACAGTGTTCTGGATAACTGTTAACATCAGAACAATGATCTTGATTATAATCTATCAATAAAATAGGCTGACAAATAATATATGATGAGGGCACAGGACAACAGATCCAGCAGTAAGTTTATCTAGGTCATTTTTGTGGGGTAATGAAGCAGGATTTACCTTCCCTACTTTCACACTGTCACAGTGAAGGATAAGAGCTGAGGTAAACACTGATCTTCTTTGATACACTGATCTGATCCTTTTAAAATCATTTCAGGGATGAATTAATTATTATCATAAAACAATTTGTGTGCCCACGACTGCTAGTTTTCCATTTTGACTATAAAATTCTTCTTCCTGCTACATTCTGCTGAAAAAACTCTCGACCAACAATGCTAAAACCATGTGGGAACAAACATTTTGTTAAAAACTCTTGAGTTTCCTAATCATAACAGTTAAATGTGTATGTGGCATAATGCCTGATACGGCATGGAAAATTGTGTAGACCTTGCTGATCTGTGTGTGAAAAACATTGCAGAGCCAGAAGCAACACTAAACAAGATACAAGTTTAACTGAGATACAAGTTAAACTGGTATGTCAGTCTACTCAATCATTTAATCCTATGATTACAGCTTATTCGTTGCAACTGTAAAGGAATGTCAAGCCCCAAGTGTCTTTAAATTCAATACATTTATTTATTTACTATACAGTTTCATTAAATTTCTTGTATAATCTTGTTCTTTTAGGTTCGGTTTAACAGTAGAACAGACTTATAGTGTGCAAGGCTGTTTTCTCTACTCCAGACCTTTTTTGTGAAACTAATGATGGAAACATCTCTGAATCTCTGTATTTTCATAAATGTTAGTTTCCACCAATAACTGACAGATTGAAAATCTACACTGTGTAATCCCTCATAAACATGATGAAACATGACTCAGCTGGGTGGCTAGCCCTTGTCGAGCCAGGTTCCTGTGTCCAAAGACTGTTATGGAGTTTCTGAACACGCTACTCCTTTTCTCTAAATGTGCTGTACAACAGCAGTAAGCACTATATTTAATGCTCCTGTTCTGCATAATGCACCAACATCTTGAGAAATGTAAAGTCTGGACAAAGAACAAGTTTCTACATGTTCTAATGTAAAATTTACACTTACTTTGCCTTGAATTTTGCCACCAAAAGTTGACCGAGCATGATAAACTACAATGGTCACATCTCCAATCACAGAAGTGCCTAGAGGTATCACAGCTTTACCATCTTCTATAGTAAATTGTCTGCAACATTGGAACACAATAAAGAGCTATTTCACAGAAATTGAGATTAGTGAAGATGTTTATAAGTTAAACATTCTTGCTTGCTCATTTCAATAGAGTTAATATATATAATCTTTCTGGTGACCTGAATGTTCTGATGCCAGTTTGGTTCTATAAATGCTTCTTGTGAACCATTGCTTCAACATAGATTATGTCTGTTCAAGATTAGGTCTTCTGCAATCATTTGTTTAACCATATCCAAGTCTGCTGATCCACTGTATTCAAATCTAACAAATCATTGGAGTGTTTGTCTTTACGATTGCTAGTTTTACTACTAATAATGCCTCTGTGGAGAAAAACTATGTTATTTTTGTTTTTCTCTCCAATGGGCATTTTCAAAACCTCTTCTTCTCCTCTGAAGTTACAACTGCCACATACTATTTTCTTTTCTTTTCCATTTTTCTTTTGATTTAGGAGAATTCTATTTTCTACCTTAAAAAAAAAAAAAAAAAAAAACTTTTCTACTTCTTCTATTTGCGCATAAGCCTAAGTGACATTTGGATATTATTTCTTTATGAAGCTTAGAGTTATTTTTCTTTTTTTTTCTGTAGCATTCTGTGTTTTTGTTTTTCTTAATATTAGGAATGAATTTAACATCTCAAGCAGACACTGTTGTCTCCAAGCACAGAATCTGTTTGTATTATAGATACATCTGACTGAGAAAATGTCCTCATCTTTCATTTTGTAGATTCTACCAAGCTGTTTCACTCTAATTTTTCTTTAATCTCAACCCCCCGCCCCACAACAAATAATAAAACAGAAAATCTGAGATATAAATACAAAATATTCTGCTTAACAAAAGAAAGCTTGACTGACCTCATCTTCTCATACTCCTGGGATGTAGTTAGGACTCTCTCTTCACCCACATAGACCTCCACAAATGGTGTACAGCCATTCCTGTTCATTCAAATTTCAGTTCAATGTCTAGGATTAAAGTGTGACCTTAGCCATTTAAACATTTTAGTCAATACTGTTCAGAAAAACAGACAGAGACATTTTCCTTCTCTTTACAGAAGCAGCTGCATTATGTAGGTATTGCTAGTTTATTCAGGTGTCATTATCATTATCATGTAGCAGGTCCTTTGTAGAACGTCGCTCCCATCATGGTCTGTCTGAAAGAAACTCGGTATCTCGCCAGCTCTCCCGCCTCATGTACTTTCATACTCAAGGAGTCACTTATATCCTGTGCCCATCTTTGTGTTGGTTGGCCCCTGCCCCTCCTTCCTGGTACTATGTCTTCTGCTATTATTTTGTCCAATTCGACGTGGCTCTTGACATGACCAAAATATTTCAGCTTCCAAGACAGGATGCTGTATATTAGCCAATCTTCCTTGATGTTCAGATCTTTCAAGATGTCAGTATTTCTCCTCTTCTTTGTCCAAGACATTCTGAGAATCTTTCTATAGCATTTCAGCTCAAAATCAGGAGTTTTCTCAGAATAATTTCAATTATGCCTCTGAACAATTCAAACGTTAGTCTTCAGCCTAAAAAATCCCAATCACATTTGCTTAAATGTGTTTTTGTAGCTCAGTAGCTGGCTCTATCTGTGTGTGTGTGTGCGCGCGCGAGTGCGCGCGCGCCTGCATGTATGTGTGTGCAGCCATCATATTTGCATCTTTCAACGAACACCCAGCATGTGTTTATCCAGATGTTTCTCTACTGGTCAACTATAAGAATGTCTAATATTGCCATCTGTTTTACTGTAAATGAAGATATTATTGTGAAACGTTCCCATGTGGGTTCCAGAGCTCCACTTGGGGTGGTGGTGGGAAAGGAAGGGGGGGGGGTGATTAAAAGACCAGCTGCACCTGCCCCAAAAAGCATGTCGTAAAAGACAACTAACTAGGGATCTACTGAAATCGGATGTGTTGGGCAGATATCAGTCTTACAAATACAATGTCAAAAAAAAAACTTGAAACTATTTCCTAAGGCTAATGATTAGTGTAGCAAATAAAGCTGAAGAAAGTTAAATATGTTCTAATACCGGGCCACCATTTTCTTTCTTTCATCTTGTAATGATAACAGCCTACACAAACCAACACAAAGTACTGTTCAAGAGGTGATGGATTTCTATGTAGATTCCAGGGTCCCATTGTGGGGAAACAAAAACAGACCCACTGCCTACCCAAAAGCATGTCCTACGAGTCAACTCATTGAAGCTTTCTTGAAAGTCAGAGTGCATCTGCCGGAGAGGCAAGGAACCAACAGTCTGCGCATAAATGAGTCAGATCTGTAAAACGCAGCATTCAGGTTCTGGAACAGGACTGGAGTTCAGAAGTGGACGAACAATCAGAACTTTCCACCGGAGTTTATAGCCATTGAACACGAAGAAGAAGAAGAAAAAGAAGAAGAAGAAGAAGATAAAGAAGAAGAAGAAGAAGAAGATAAAGAAGAAGAAGAAGAAGAAGAAGAAGAAGAAGAAGAAGAAGAAAAAGAAGAAGAAGAAGAAGAAGAAGAAGAAGAAGAAGAAGAAGAAGAAGAAGAAGAAGAAGAAGAAGAAGAAGAAGAAGAAGAAGAAGAAGAAGAAATATGATAAGGTATCTAGACGTAGACCAACAGTCCTTAGTTACCTCTTATGACATACATAGTAGGTTACAATATGCCTATTATGTGCTTCAGTTATGATTATATTACAGATACAGTTGCAGGAGATAACTATGTTATTTAGCATGTATACTGTTAATTTGTCAATGGTTCTAGATGAGGCTAGATTGAACTGTTTTCTGTTTCCTCTAGGACCAGTGACAGTTTATTTATTTTGTTTAAAGCAAATCTGTTGGTGCTTACTTCACTTTGTTGAACAATGGAAGTGGTCTCAGTGTTATTCCTTTAATAAGAATAGGACGAGCATGAGGAAATACTGGTTCATCTGCCACCATCTGACCAATGTAGTCAATGTACCTGATGATTGCAAATGTCAGTGTCATAACCAGAACATGGTGTTATTACACAAGAAATATAAAATATACATAGACTCTGCTGATACATCAGTATCTGTACCTGCCAGCAACTTATGTTTAAACACTAAATACCATCTGACTTTTTGTTCAACTGCTGGTACCCTACATTGCTAATAAGACAGAACTAACACTCCACAGTCGCACGCATGCACATACATACACAAAAGAACTGAGATTGTGCCAAATTACCTAACATTTTTATATAGAGATTGGTATCTTGAAAATACTACTAGACTTCTGACATGAGAGGATATATTTGTACTAACCATAAACATATACCATACACATATACACACACTCAGGGGAGGGGGGGGGGGCTGAGTGGTCTAGAGGTATGGTGTTTGCCTCAAGTGCTGGAGGTCCCGGGTTCAAGTCCCGGTGAAGGCTAAGATTTTTTCATGTGGACTTCTAGTAATTTGCACTGGTCTCTGGGTAGTAAGATCGGACACCCGTGTGTATTCTTGCGCATTAAAAAAAAATCTCTTGGCAGTTGGAAATCGAAAAGAGTAGCCTGGAGCTGCCTGGACAAAATTTTGAGTTAAAAATCTATCCAAAGTATTTCAGGATCACTGAGATTCTTCAAACCCAGGCTTGAGTTAGAAGTGGAACGGAGCACTTATGGGTTATACCCGTGTGCCATGCTGTTTATCCGTCGAATAAACATAAACATATAAAATGTTGTACCTGCACAGTATCTTAGTTAGTTAGTTAGTTAGTTAGTTAGTTGGGTTATCGTCATTGCACTCCGGACATGTCCATAGGTGCTCAGATCCTCCCCTCAGTATGAACCCCAACGTCTGATGGCTAATAGTACCAGTTCTATGTTGATTAACAAGTCTTCTGACGTGTCCGGTGTGCGTCTCGTTTTTTGCTGTGCCGATCTTAATTCCCAAGTCTGCCATTCTGGCGAGTGATGTGGATTCACTGCCACCAAAGTCCTCTATCCTTCCCATTTCTCTGAGGGCATTGATACTATCAGCATGATCCATAGGCCGACCGTCGGTAGTGTCTTGATTCAGTATACCTTTAGTTTTCTGCACTGAAAGACCTTTGAGTCATCACATCTTAGACATCGTTATGTCAAGCTCTATACTGTACATCATCTTACATATGTTATACCTTTTACTTTTTTGGTAAATACATTGTAATTATCATCTTTTTGGGATAACAGATCACAATAAATAAATATATATAAATATATATATATTTTTAATGATAAACAAATTTAAACACCATTTATTATTGCAGTTAATTTTTTTCCACTTCAGTATAACCTCCGCCAATATTTGTAAATGTTTATCCAGATGTTTCTTTCCTGGTCACTGTTACATACAACTATTAAAATGTCTTGACTTTGATAACAAAATGTTGTCATTTATTTCACTGCAAATTTAGATTTTAGTCAGCAACTTCCTCATGACGTGTACCTTTGCCTCTCCAGTAAATATGTCCTATTTATTAATGACCTGTGTAAAATGATTGCTTTTTTAAGGGATTTTGTTCGCAAGTTCCCATGAATGCATGATTCAATTGTTTAGCATTTGAAGGGTGAAAGGTTTAATATCTTGGAGTTACATTTAAAAAAAATTGTGAAAGAACATGCATGCACGAAGTCAAGCATGGATGCGAGCACACACGCATTCTCACAGGCACGCATACACGTGTGGACTGGTGTTGTGATGTTGCTCTGCTTCCCCATTTCATCAAGTTTTTTAGTCACGGTTCATTGGAATTTAAAGGAAAACAGAAGCAGAAGAAGATGAAAGTATTGATGTTTGTTCTATGGGCGTCATTCATTTTAACTGTTATTGAAATAACACCAACACAATTGTGAATCTAGTGACTAGATTATGATTTTAAGCAAGAAACAATGGAGATAATATGTGGTTGTGATCTGCTTAAATTACTCAACATCTTACCTTTTCTGGGATGGGGAGATACCAGGTATGGAACGCCTCGCAATGAACAAATGCATGGCAGCAGATGCATTCTCAAACAATCGACAAAATACCAAGAAAGCTCCAATCACGCATGCAGAATTGGCTTTTCCATCCTAATGTTTTAGAAGGGAAAAAAACAAGGAAAAGAATACATTTGAAGAAAATTTGAAATAATTCCTAATTTATTGCAGATGTCGTGGAAACAATAAATTTAATAGGGATACTGCCTTTGATTTGATTATTTTAAGGCTGTTGTGTGCTGATTATAGGTCTAAATGTCAAGTTGTAAATGTATTGTAAAACTTACCAAACAATGCACAACACAGACGTTTTTTGGTTTTTGCCGCAGCCACAGATGCATATTTTTGCAGATAGCATACAGGTTTGTTAGTGGTGGTGCTTTCTTGGGTGCCCATCCACATTCTGACACCTGCAGAGAAACAGGAATCACATTAGAAAACACTAACAAAGATTCTGCACAAATTTATCAATAATGTTTTGAAAGATATTTTTCAAAACTCACATAAGACACACATAACAACAAAGAAACCAAAAAGCTTTTAACTGTCTCAAGAAAGTGTTATAGGGCAAAGCACATCCTTAACATCTGAATACACGCGTGCAGAGGAGGCAGTCACTCAAGAAGCTGATTTGATTATAGAAATTAAATGTAGACAGTCAATGTGTTTCTGCAGGTTATGAAGAAACATAAACTTGAAGAATCAGTGAATACTGGCAAGACTGATGTCAAAGAGCACAAGAAAGACACTTGACAGACACTGAGTGACATGGCATGACAGACACTGAGTGATATGGCATGACAGACCAGGATCAAAGACCTGATTCCAGATTCTGATGGTCAAACGAGATGGTGAACTATGGTCTTTGATGTTCAGTGGCATAGCACATGATGAATATAGATACTTAACTGGCACACAGATGTGATTTTTCTTCCTCTGCTCTTTATCTCCAGTGGAGCATAGGACCTCCATGAACTTCACTGCCAGCGTCCGCAGCTTGCTCCATGTCCTTCCCATCTTTTCACCTTATTCTCCAGTTCTCTTGCTCATGTTTTTGTTTTTTCTCCCTTTGTTTCTTTGGCCTTTTGGGTCCCAGTGCATAAAAGTTCTAGTTTTTTGTTTTCTCAATGTGTGTCCTATCTAAGGCCTGCATCTGTTTCTCCCCTCTTGATTCACAGGAATTTGTGTAGTTCTCTCTCTCTCCAAGCTTATTTGTCACACCATTTAATTTCTGTAATCCACACAGGTACTATTTAATTAATGTTTATAGTTTAGTTGTTTGTGTTTCTGCTCCACACAGCACTATTGATTTAATGTTAGAGTTCAATATTTTAAGTATGATGCTAGTTTTGACTTCCTTAGATACAAACTGACTTCAGCCAACTCATTTTGCCGTATATATATATTTTTTTTCATACCTCTAGTGCAGGTCTATTCAACTCATGGCCCGCAGGCAAAATCTGGCTTGTGGAGGCTTAGCAAGTGGCCTAAAGATCATTGCCAGTTGTATTGTATTACTGATCTTTCAAAGCTGAGTCTCCAGCCACTGGCCGTGACAATCTCAGTTTTCAAAAACGTGGCCCCTGAGTATATTTAGTTGAACAGCTCTGCTCTAGTGGTTCCTCCATCTTTGTCTAGATTGCTGCCTAGCTTTCCCTTAATGAAGAACTTGGCATTCCGTATCTTTATACGTTGTTTTAAATACATTAATGATTTTCTTCGGAATCCTTTATCAGTTAATCAATTACAGATTTACTTCAGCCCATGGCCAAGTATACACCTGAATACTGTCTTATTTATTGTTTAAAAACCAACATGTCTACAGTGACTTAACATGGAAATAAATCTTTACCCTGTTCTCAAACTTGGCACCTCTGTATGTTCTTTGGCTTAAATTGTATACTGCGTAGCTACCCCTATGTTTCGATTCCAAGAAGTTCCGAACTTCATCAATGCTGTTTTTAAAGGCAGACTCAACTCCTTCTGCTGGATATGACATTACTGAGGAAGTCAACAGAAAACATCTTCAAGAGTGCATTGTGTAACATGAATTGTTGGTAATGAGACACAACAAGGAGAAAACACAAGCATGCACCAGTTCAGAAAAGACAACCATAAAACACCCACAGTTACTGCAAACATCCCACAATAAATATTCTGTTACAAATTCTAATGTAGAAGAACAGCAAACATATACTGTGCTACATTAACATTGTAGCAATTACATAATAAATTATAGCTGATATTCAGTATACAGGCTACACATCCTGTACATAGTTATGCTGCATGTCTGTATACTCAAGAAGGTGTGGAGGTGGGGGAAGGCATGAGAGATACACAGATATAGAGATAATGACAGAGACAGCGAGAAAGAAACATACATGAACATAGGGAAAGAGAGAGATGGAGGAAGGAAAAGGTAAAGTGAGGGAGCCGCAGAGAAAGAGGGAGGGAGGCACAGAGTGACAGAGGTACAGAGATATGAGGCCAAGAAGAGAAGGTTGCTAGGGAATTTCCCTGCATAAAACCAAAATACATGCAAATTATGTAAGTAATGATTTTTTTAAAGCGGTCACATTTTCACATTTTCAGGTTTTTAATTCACAAATTTGGGATTTCTTCTTCCTTTTCTCTGTTGTCCAGTTTGTTAAGGCCCTAGAGTTTTCAAGGTAAATACAAGGCCCCCCCCCCCCCCCCCCCCCCCGCCCCTTTTCTTCTCTTTTATTCAGTTAGAGCAAATTTGATATTTCTTAGCTACAACAAAGACAGAAAAAAGGAAAAAGCAAGTGAAAAACAGAAAAATGGCAGAATACTTAGGTTATCATATGTTCACTTCAAGGTGTGTTTGAAATGAGTAAACATCACTATCTAGTTGAAGTGCAAACAGACTGAAGATGTTATACAAGACTTTCAAGTCTGGTTAAATAAAAGATGTACACAAAAACAAGAACCTCAAATACAGACTTCGAAACGTGCGCTACACTTAATGAAATAATAATATATTAGCAACTTATCTGTTAACATTCATTCAATTTATTGGCACAAAAGATTGCATTATTGTACTGTATTTGCAGGCAGTCTGTACAGGTTGAATTATTTATCTAGTTAACAGAATAATATTTCTGAATAGCACATACAGTAACAGATGTCTTCTAGGAAACCATTGCTGTGTTTCATCGTCAGTAACAACAGTCTCTGAGTTAAATGTTTTGAAAATCATTGTTTGGTTTAACCTTGTTGCCAGTTTTTCATCTTTAATGGGTTTTTGGTGACATGACTGACTGACGTTCAACACCACCATGACAGCACAACAAACTATAAATATCCTGGTGACACAAAGTGCCACTATTCAGATAAAAATCACCCGGGCACAAGTCTTAAAAACCTTGTTCAACCCATAGGTTATATTTAGGGCCCCGACAGCATGGGTGTGTCTTTAAAATAATAAAAGATTGTGTCCCACCTTGGGACGGGGTTGATATGACATGATGTCTTTCGCCAGTGACCACACCCATATAACAGTAATGGTTACAACTGCATAGTCAGTAGATATGGTGGGTATTCACACACATGCAAAACCTCTTGTGTGTTATTATCTGGAGTAGAAAAATCTGTTTTTGTCACTGCAATGTCACAAAACAAAAATTTTGATGACTCTTAGCTCTTCGTGGCTGTGTCAACAACACATTTTTTGGGGGTAAAAGGGAAGGAAAGCAATTATTTTTTGCTCCGTGAGTATTGAATGATTACTTTCCTTGATTTAAAAAAAAAACTGCTGTCTTAAATTTCTCATAACCTCAATAATGGTGGTCAAGTAGTTGGGGCATGATACAGATTTGTTTAGACCTTGAGGAATGTATTCCATTTAACGCTTCACTTTGTTAGTGTTTCCTGATTACTCCAACCGTGGAGGACAGAATATAAATTTTTCAAGCACGTACCTGCCTCAGACACACACAATCCACTGCATAGTGAAACAGGTTGATACAGAGAAAACCATTAATAATAAGCAAGATGTTTGTGAGAACCACATGAGGAGTGAATCCACAACCAGGGTCAGACTGTAAGAACAGCAATTTAAATTGTGTTGTGGCCAAACAAGAACACCATGCAGGAAGCAAAAGAAGAAAAAGAAACCAACACAGAACTAGGGTTGTCAGCCACTACACACTGTAGAATTTACTGAGAAGGAGATCACAGCACCTATGGACTGAATGGTTTGATGTTAAGAGATGATAATATGTTGTCTAACTAGCTTATTTATCCCTTTAAATCATCATCATCAAGTGCCTTGCCAACAGGTGTGGGCCATACAGCTCTCCACAATCTGCAGCTGCATTATCAGTTCGTGTGTTGACACTCCCTTATGCCAGTTCTTATAGCTGCTGTTTGCTGCCAATACATATTCTTTACAGATATTTTCCATCAATGTTAAGCTTTTCCATTAGTTTATTTCTTCATATTTAATACAGTCAAAAGCTTTGGTATAGTCAATAAAGCATAGATAAAGATAAGTTTTTTTTTAAAAACTTCTACAGCTTTTTCTGAAGAGTCCTGAGGATGTATATGGCAATGTAACAAATCCACACTGTTCTTCAGTTTCTTATTCTTCTCATAATTATTCTCAGTAACATTTTTGTCACATGGCTCATAAGACTTATGGTGCAATAGTCTTCACATTTTAAAGTGCCTGGTTTCTTAGGCAGAGCCATAAATATAGATTTTAACAGATCACTATAATAAATATCATTTAACAGTTTTGCTATTATTTCAATTCCAAAATATCCCAAAGACTATTCCAATGTGATGTTGTCTGGCCCAGGTGCCTTCAACTTCTGAAAGCCAATTCTGGTCTATTATCAACATAAAGATTTACCAAGTACTCTGTCCGGTTTTTAATTATATCACCTTGCCCCATTATTATTTCACCTTTTTTCTATTGTAAACTCCCACTGATGATACTTCTTTTCTTCCCTGTCAATTTACTTATCTGTTTGTGTATGGAATGTGTGTCTTTCCCATGATTTTTCCCAATCTGTGTGCACATCTGATTCAGCCAGGTTACTTTAGCCTCTTTGCATTTGTTAACTTATATCTCTAAACATTTTAAAAAACAAATAAATGCAGATACATTTTTGGAAAATTTATTAGTGACCGGTGTAAAATTGCTTTAAATCTGAGGGTTTTTTTCCCAAGAAGATCATGACCAATTTTCTAGTTTTCCCGGGGCGACAGGATTAAGTCAAATTGCCTAACATCCTGCAATATTAAAAATGCAAGATAAAATTATAACATCCTCAAACATGTAATCAGTGTACGACAAACTGTTATAAAAAACAAAACCAACAGAATGATTTACTTACCAATGAGTCGTGATGTAATGTAGGATATATCCAAATCTGTCTTGGTAATAGTGCTAAAAAAGACATACAAGATCATATACAAATAAATGCGAGGGGGAAATCAATAAGCAAGTCACAAATTGTTGCTTTAGAAAAAAAAATGATAACTTGAAAAACGTTTATTTTTTTTCCACACATACACTGTCCCTTTTGTTTCAACATAAATTCCACCACCACCAACACTGCTGCACTTGTCCCATCGTTTTATCAGTCCTCCCAAACCTGCTGCATAGAGCTGAGTGCTCTGTTTTCTAAACCATATTTTCGCTCTACATTCAACTTCTGCATCATTCGTGAAATGTCTCCCGCCAAGGTGGGTCCTTGAGTAAAATTTGTTAACTAATGCGCCGCTTTACAGGATAAACATTTGTCAGTATAAGCAGAAAGCATTTCCTTATGAATGTCATTGGTAGTCTGATAATCTTTCTATAGCATTTCAGCTCAACGCCCCTATTGTCTTCCTTACAGACTGGGAGATGGTCCACAACTCTCACTGCTACAAAGAAGATGCATGCTGGAAAACTGTTAATTCCCCATTCAACCTGCGTAAATAGTGGCTGATTAAATCTGTCCTGCATAAACAATAGCAAGTGTAATGTTGCCCTATTCAACCTGTATCAGTATGTTATAACACAGGAGTTTTAGGTCTTCGTCTGTGCATTTCTTTTTAATTCAAGTCATCCTGATCAGTGTTTCCTGAAATGTATACAATTATTCTGATTGGTCTGCAGGTTGCCTGAGTTTTATTTGACTTATCAGTGTTTCATGATATGCTTACAGTTACCGTAAATAGTTTAATGTCAGAATACAGCATGTTTGAATATAGAAGCTGTCAATTCTCTATAATCATGACTGGCTGCTTTCACTACAGCCCACTCTGACCTCTATGCTTGTGGTGTCTGGGTATTTCCCACTTGCTGATGTCTGCTATACTTATCTGTTTTCTGGTCTGATGATTTCATCAATTGTTATTACTTATGGTGGTGGTGCCCTAAAGTTGTTTATATTGTCAGTTCTTTAACTTGTATTTGCTTTAGTGTTTTGTATTTAAAAAAACATGGCTATTTTTTTCATACAAGTGAGCATCACAGAACAGCTCTCACAATATAATTGAGAACTTACTTAGTGACTGTCTCCATGACTCGGTTGGAAGCATCTTTGATATTTTTGAACATACTGCCTGCACCTCCTTTAAGGGAATTAAAGAGTGCACCTGCGGCAGAACTTGCTCCAGGCCCACTATCACTGGCAGGTACTGAGTTGCCAGAGCCTGCTCGTCTCTCAGGAGTTACTGTGTATCACACCAGAAAACACAAATAAGACTAGTGCCAAGCAAACTGTTACAAATACACTGATGTTAACATTAAATCCACTTACAGTTTCTGAATGATGATAAAGAAATCTGATCTGATGTACCAGCAGCATTTATGAAAATAAATTTAAAACATTACTGGTGTTTAAAAAAAAAAAATGCTCAACCTATGAAATATGGAAAAAGTATAGATGTTAAAACAGAAGACTGATTCCTGGCAAACAGTCAATATGATAAGACAGAAATATGATGAAATCTCAAGTAGGAAGTTTAGAACTGGACGTTGTGAGTAAAGAGAAAGTGAAATGTGTTAAAGAGTTAGATACTGGGACCAGGGAATACAGATAAATTATAGCTCAGGCTCAGAAAGAAAGATCTTCAGCCAAGCTAGGCATATGTAATTAGATATTCAGAATCATCTGCACCTGTGATACTGTAAGACAATGTAGGTAAGTATACAGGTGTACACATATGTCAGGGTAGATGGTTCTGTCCCACTTAGTTTACCACACAGTAAGTAACACTGCAGTATGGACTGGCAATGATGACACATGTCCTGCTAGCATCAAAAACACAGGTTATGATGAAGTGGATCAGATCATTTGATCACTTCCTTTTATCTGGCTCAGAGCCAAAGTGACAGAACAGGGATCAGCTGGTCTCAAAGATGTGGCACTGCCATACTCATAAAAGATGTCTAGTGTTGCCCGTTCCAACTAGCGAAGCAGTTCATAGACAGCTATATAGACATAGTGACAAATGAGGTAGTTCGGTGGGTCATCTCTGCTCATCTCTTTATGACCCTAAAAGTAGAAGCTTCTAGAAACAAACGACATGCTGTGTATATAAACTATGTAGCAAGTTGTCAGGCTTAGACTTTCAGAAACTTTCTTGATGTGCAGCTGTAACAACAGCCTCACCAGTTTCCACTAGAAAATTCTTGGTTTGCATTTAACTGGTCCCTAAAGATATAACTAGGCAAATTGGTAAAAACACCTTATGTGAACAACTGTACAGAAATGAGATAATACCTGAGGGTGACTGGTAAGACATGCTTGGAAAATTCAATGGTTGCTTTAAACTGATATTCTTTGCTTGAGCTATTTCCTGCAATCTGTCTAAGACGTCACTGATTGTTGGTCGGTCTTCAGGATTCACTTGCAGCATACCTCCTGTGATTTGACAAACATGTACAATTATTTATAACTCTGTAAGGCAGTCATGTTTAATTTTAAAAGAAACAAAACAAAAATGTGTATTCTAAATGAAAAAAAAGAAGTTTTGGGGAGGGGAGATAAAATACATCTCTGTTTCACTCCAGTTTCAACTGCAAACCAATCACTAAAACCATAACCTTTTTGAACTGAATGTTGAATGTTGAATTAAGAATCGACATCACAGCACTCGGGACACCCCCATAAGCACTCCGTCTCCATCTTCAGCAGCAAGCAAAGAGTTAAAATTCTGATGTTACCAGTCTCGCCTTTTCCCTGAGTGTCAAGTGTCGGCCAGATCCCCTTGTAACTCCTCGCAGTGCCATTCTCCTCAGACCGTATTGATCAATCTGTTCCCTGGCACTGTTCACTCGCTCCCAAAGGGTTCTCACAACATCCAGCTTGTCATACATCAGTTCACTGCAATGAGCCTTTATACATTGCTTTAATAATATTTATTACTTTTATTGGGATACCACCGCATTCCCAACAGTGATGTTCTGTGCAAGCTATCAAAAGCCTTATACACTTGAGCCTGATACACTACTAATGTTGTTGTTGTTGTTGTTGTTGTTGGTGGTGGTGGGTGGGGGGTGGGTGTGTGTGTGGGGGGGGGGGGGGGGGGGGGGGCCCCCCCCCCCCCCCCCCACATCATATCTACAACATTTGGCTGTACAATTTTTTTTTCTACTTGTTTCACGCAGAATATTAATTCTGAAGTCATTTTGCACAGACATGCAAGTTGTACTGAGAAAAGTTTCACCTATATTTTCCATCTGCTGTGATCTGGGTGTCAGGACACTTCTGCTATTTGCTATGATATTGCATTCTGGAGGACATCTTTGTGATTATCGCCACTTCTATTCCCAAGCCATTAACACCAAGGAATTTTTGGTGCTGGGATTATATTTACTATTTTGTGCAGCTGCTTTTATTTTCTATGATCAAAGTAGTATCATCAGCTTTGAGATTGTTGACATCCTGCCCACCAATATATTTGGCATTCTTGTGTATGACTCATCATGTTCTCACTGTCTCAGCTGAAAGAACATCCCACTGCCAACACAATCACACTGAACCTTGCCCACATATATTTCAAGCAGAGGCTGCAGCATTGTGTATTATTGAATTTTAAAAACTAAAAAAAGACTAAAGAGGTAAATAAAACAATCACAAACAATTATATGTAATAATTTTTAATTTGCAGGGAGCTTATCATAAAGAATATATATAAATATAAAAGAAATATTTAAAATGATGCAACTTACGTATGAGGTCATGAAAAAGATCAAATTCCTGGTCAGACTCTGGGATGACATAATTAGCATTTAGGATGCGCAGTTTGGCAGAGTCTTGAAATGGATGATCATAAAAACACAACTTGAAAAGCAAGCATCCTAGTGCCTGAACAGAGGACAGAAGTCTTATCAGTGTTAACATGTCTGCATAACAGGAGATTACAGTCAGTGTTATCTTAACCAGTTTATATCTCTAATCAGCAAAACTACTGTGATATTCTGTTCAAAGGGTCCACAGATAAAACATATTTCTGTTCATCTTTTCCCTATATTTAAGTCAGATTCAACTTTCAACACTGATCATCTGTAGCTCTGTTTAGATCAAAGAACCCAGCAGAATATTTATCCCTGTATTGTGTGTTCACTGAGTTAAAACATACATTCTTAAATATTTTTGTGTCAAAAAGGCTATAGCCTGAATAGGTAAGCTTCTTTTCACAAGCTGTGAGGCAAATTTAGTAAATATTAAAATATGACATATGTATATGAGGCATTGGGTGTTCATGTGTGTCACGACACACTCTTGACTTGAGAACCTGTCTTAGAGGGGAATATATTCCTGAATATACTCTTATTCCAGGTGATCCAGAACAAAACTACTTAATTTCCCTGGACTGCAGTTGATATCAAACACTCAGACTCTTGCCCAGAGGTGAAGTGTTTAGGATCAGATAACACTGACTAGATAGACTTAGTGGCACCAGTAAAGTGGAAAGCTCAGACAGAATAGGCTAGTGGTTGGAGGTTTTGCTTGTAAAACTGAGGTGTCGGATAATTATCCCCTAGTCAGATCTTTAGGAGCAGATAACTCAGGCTAACTGTGATTATCTCTGCCTGAGATTGCCCGACTTGGGTGCAGGTCAGATAGCTAGTATTGACACAAGTCTGAGGTAGGTTTTAGCAGACAGAGAACCTGGTAGGCTAAAGATGGGGAAAAAGATGTGACATTTTTTTTCAAAGCTCTGGCCAGCTTGATAGACCGTGGGAATGTCACCCAGTGTTGGTAAAGTGTCCCCCAGGGCAGAGTTTTGGCATTCCTAGAATGAGAGAGGTTCAGGAGGAGAAATAGAAGGAGCTTAGAAGAGGTTATAAAAATGTGGATACAATAGGCCTGAAACTTTAGACTCTGCCATCTGTTGGGCTTAAACCCTAAGCTTGAGACAGAACTTGGTGGGATTGTATTTTCATTTTCCAGGTAAGCGAGACTACTTTTAACCTTTACTTAATGACAGAAATCTCAGTCGTCCCTTTGCTCAAGTATGTGTACTTATTACTTTATAGTAATCCTTAGCGGACATTTCTCCATTCCAGTAGGGCACTGTAAAATTGCTCTATATCTTACCTGATAATGTCATGTATGTTTTCAATGTATATGTGTTTCAATGTTGTATAACTTGAATACTGATGTTGCCATTCAAATTTCATGAAATCCCAAGCGTGAAGATAATTTTGGCAGTCTCTTTACGTGTGGTTATTTTGAATCTATATTACATACAGCTAATACACTGAAATGTATTTACCTCCCGGGAGGCTAATGCCAGAGACTGACCCCAGAGAGTGAAAGCCGGAGAATTTAGATTTAATGTTGCCTCAGAAATATTGTTATCATTCTGGGCGCACACATTATTTCAGGCATTAATTACAGAACTTGTTCTGTCAAACCAAATATCAATTTTGAGGGAATGAGAGATGACATCAGACTTAGAGGACTCAACTATCATTACAGGACTTGAATAGTGGAAGGCAGGAAATGTAACAACTACAATGTGAGACGAAGACCTTCCAGACTGGGTAGGAGAGAATGTAATATGTGGGGGAGAGATGAAATGTTTTTATTAGAGTGGGCATGTTTCTTTATCACGGCTCCTACATTGGGCAGGGACTAGTTGGCATCCATTCTTTGCAGACAGTCTGAGTGTAATAACCTCCTTGAAGCAGCGAGGACGGCAAATTGGAAAAAGATAGGCAGGGTCTCAAACTGAGAACTACCTGAGGTTTTTTCTCTCCATTTGTTTCATAAATTATGTAAAACTTTTATACTTGTTCATAAGAATTATCATCAAAACAAACCTCATCACTCTCATACGCCATATTGAATTCATTGACTGATGTATTATCATAGCATCCAATTCTTGATTACAACATCGTAAACCAATACCATTCAATTTATTTTGCTGTTGATTGAATTATTAAACTTCATGTCAAGTTCTAAACTAATAGTTGAGTAAACTGTGTACTTGTTCAAGTGTCTTTGTGCACACTAGTTTACACCAGCTCACTCATATGTCAATCACTTTAAGGGGACTTCCGTTATAAATTATTACCAGGAGAGGAGACATTTGGAAGCATTAACTGTGTATCTTGATATTCTTGTCTTGAATTACTCTTGATATCTAACTACCCTTTTCCTATTCCTATGGATACACATACAGCTACTTTCCTTTTAGTGTACGAGTCATTTTTGCTGTTTTCTTGGTTATCCAGGACTGTGTCTGGGATCATCATAGCTCAGATATTAGTCCAGTTTCTTAAGCTGGGGTGCAGTGTCCAGATTAAAACCCACACACTCACTACATAAGTGTATATCCACATGGGTTGGCGACAATGTGTATGAGGTATTGGGTGTTATTTTTTTTCCACCTAACCATCTCACTGTGCCAACATGTCTGCTAACTGACCAAAGTTAAACTATAAGAATGTATTTAGATATTACTAGCATGAACTGACTTCACTACTTTCAATACAGTTCACAGATTGATTAACTAACTGAACATGATTGTCTACATGAGTGTGGAGATGTTGACTGTTCCCACCACACACTGACGTGGCAGTGTTATACCCTGCCTGTGAGCCACAAGTGTTACAAATCACTGTCAGGATGATTCATCAGTTCCTGTGTCAGCTTGAAGCAGCCTGTTATAAGTGGTGTGTATTATATTTTAATGAACACATATTTAGATATGTCCAGTGTTCTACCGGCCAGCAAATTCAGCTGGCTCATTTCTTCAGATCCCTGAATGATGTGATCATAAGAGACAAAGTGTTGAAGAGATTATGTTTGTATAATTTAAGCATGCAAATCATAACCACTTAGGTAACTCTTCTGAAGCACTGACTGAATCAGTCACAATGCTAACTAAAACACACTATAATAGCATCGCAATGACTGCTTTGCTTCCACCCACATACTATATGTAATTACATATGCATCACTGTCTTCTGTAATGGTATCTATCTAGCTGTTCCCAAATTCGGTGACAAATATTTCCAATTTACTTACCCAAATATCACAAGCTTGGTTGATAGGAAAGTTCTGGTACAAGTCCAGCATTTCAGGAGCCCTGTACATCGGAGTTGTATTTTTTGCAATCTAATGACAGAGCCATAACAAGAACACAGATTAGTAACTAAACTTGTCACAGATAAAGCATACACTAGAGAAATGATAACTGGGTGCGAATGCAAATTGTTTGAGACACAGTAAATAGCCCAAGGTAGAGGCCCTAATTCCCAGTTATCAACAAACTATCCCAGCAGACAGCGGCAATCTAATATGATGTAATAATAATGATGGTGACATATAGTGAACATAATGTAACTATACAGAACAGTAATAACGCAGCAAGAAATTCCCAAGAAGGAATCTGGGATATCTAAAATATGCTAGACAGACCTAGCTGCAGTAAACACGGATTTGCTTTAACCCAGATGCATACAATCACAATGCCCTTGCTTCTGTACCAACAAACAGGTTGTACCTGACAATGGTTTTCACTTGTTCAAGCTCATATGAGCATCTAATGTGCTGAAACTGGCAACTAGGCATTGTCTTGAGGTCATCAGTTAAGGTTATCAAACATTCTGAATGGTTATTAAACCTATGCTCACAGTTTAACAAACAGAACTTTTTACAGTGGTCCTAGTTTATGCATGTAAAGCTAATGTAAGGCTAATTCCTGATGTTTGAAATCTGTAGAGAACTCTCTTTTCCATGTTCAACATGTTTTACTCATGATACAATGCCACCAATCACCACCACAATGTGTAAAATCAACTGCGCATCTGCAGTTCACCAGCTCACAGAAGCCAGCTTTAGACCTCAGAAATAAGGAATCTGGGAAAGGTGGTCCAAGTGACTAGAAGAGACGGTACAATATTTTTTGCCTCCCCCAAACACGAAATTCCCATGGGAATTCCACAGCTGACTTGACAGTCCATTATTTCAAGGGGTGCAAGTGTGCTGCTGTCTGCTGCTGTTTTTGAGTGTTCATCTAGTGTCTTATGGTGCGACATATTTCGGTCTGTTGATGCGCATTTGGCTGCTTGATGATGCGCAATTGGCCGGTCTGCAATATTAGTTATGTTTTCATAACATGTCAACATGTGAGTGCATAGCGTAGTTGGTATCACATCTGCCTTGTAAATGAAAGATGCCGTGTTCAATACCGACGTGATCCATTGTGTATTTCCTTTTTTTTTTTTTTAAATGAAATGTAAATTGTGTGTGTTTTTGTTGTCACAATTTTTTTTTTTTTTTAAATAAAATGTAAATTGTGTGTTTTAAATGAAATGTAAATTGTGTGTGTGCGTGCGCGCGCGTGTGTGCGTGCGTGCGCGCGCGTGCGTGTTTTTTTTTAAAATAAAATGTAAATTGTGTGTTTTAAATGAAATGTAAATTGTGTGTGTGTGCGTGCGCGCGCGTGCGTGCGCGTGTGCGTGCGTGCGTGTGTGTGTGTGTGTGTGTGTGTTTTGTTGTTGTTGTTGTCACAACGTTTTTTGTAAAAATAAAATGTAAATTGTGTGTATTTTTTCACTACAGGTAAAATGTGCAATTTGGCTATGTGAACTCTATGTGCAATCGCAGGAAATGCCAATTGGGGTACTGTGGGGGGCCCTAAAAAGGGCCAATCATTCTACATGAATACTGCTGGGTTCACGCACGAATTGACAATCACAGAGATTGTACACGTTAGTAGATCTGAACTGAGGTCAAACTGCGGTGGCAGAAGAGACGACGGACTAGTAGTCTCTCGGGGGCCAGAATCTAGCAATGTCTGCTAGTATGGTTTCAAACATGTCGCCACCCGCACGTTGAGCACGCCTGCGCCACAGAAACTCACACATGTAAGATTCTAAAAATGTCTGTGGGTGCCATTCTGGCGCTTGTTTCTCTCCTTTGCCGACCTCCACAAACGTTCGATGCATTGCGTATGAGCACCTGTGGTGGGGTCGACAAAATTAATGGAGTGATTGTTTCTGCAACTTCTGGTTCTGTGCAGAATGCCATGCTGTTGCAGGAAGGCAATGCTGCTTTCTTTGTCTTGTACAGATGCAACTAGCTGTAGAAAATTCATCGAGACTGCTGCTGGAAACAATGGCAACTGACTGACGCCGGAAAAGAGCGGTAAACATACGTCATCAATGTTGACACTTTTCTTTGACAAAAACATCCAAAATGGAGTCAAAAAAGATCTTAAAATATCCAAATTTGCGTGGAAAACATATAGAAAAAAAAATCCAAACGGGAAGAGTCACAAATTACATAGCTATTAATATGACTAAAATGTGTAGCATTAATCTGTACCGAAAAGTAAATGTGGCCAGTGTAACAGCTACCACATCACCCTTAGAGTGCCAGTACTACTGCTGCTACCACTACCACCACCACCGTCACAACAACAACACAAAACGGTCACTACTGTCTGTACAGGTCGTTGTAAGTGTGCCCCCGACATAAAACTCCATCTCTTAACCATGGGCGAACGCAAGAGGAAAAGGGGGGGGGGGGGAAGCATTTGCCCTGGATTGATTGAAAAAAAAAACGAATGCTGTTGCTTGTTCATCTGCAGCAGCAACGCTATCACCAGAACCAGACCCGGACAAACTTGAAAGTGGAGATACTATGTTAACCTAGGACATTGAACTCTGTGTAAAATCTACTACGAAGATTCGATCTTAAGCTCAAGTATCGTTTGCTAACTGATCCATACAAGCCTCACCCGTCATATGATTTTGAAGGCGACATGTCAGGAAGTGGAAAACGTTGTTTCAGGAAATCTTGGCTAACCCAGTATTCTCTATGGTTATCATATTCACCTAGGTTAAAAAGTGCTTTTTGCATTTTCTGTGTTTTATTTCCGCAACCAGTTCAAAAAGGAATTCAAGATGCCTTCATTACTACTCCTTCTACAAAGATTTTAATGAATGTGCCAGAAACCAGCTCAGCATGGCATCGTGGGTCTTAACAAGATGCTGAACACTTGGCGTCAACCATTACAGATCCAAAAAAGGATATTATTTGTCAGATAGATAACTCCGTAAAACGAACTATTGAAGAAAACAGAAAGAAACTGTATCCTTTTATTTCAACAATCTTATTTTGCGGAACAAATGATTTGGCAATTCGTGGGAAAGATAGCACCAAAGGAAATGTCGAACAACTTTATACGTATCGAATTGAGGGAGGAGACAGTATTTAAAAAAAAAAAAAAACCATTTTGATACAACTGCTGGAAATGCAAGTTACACATCACATCGAACGCAGAATGGTTTGATTAATTTGTCTGAACAAGCTTTGCGAGAAGACATTGTAAAAGCTGCTAACAATGCTGTTGGATTCTTGATCATAGCCGATGGAACAGCAGATATCTTAGGAGCAGAACAGTTATCACTGGGAGTCCGGTTTGTAGATACGTCTAGTGAGAAGGCTATGATTCGTGAGGAATTCCTTGGATTTTCTCCGCTGAAAGGTATGGACGCCGCCACGATATCTGATTGTATTATTCAACATTGCAAAACATTTAGTCTTCTCCTTAATAATCTGCTGGGTCAAGGTTATGATGGGTGCTCGACAATGGCCGGAAAAGAAAATGGTGTTCAGGCGAAAAATTCGAAGAATTTACCCCAAGGCTGCCCTTGTTCACGGTGCCTCGCATATACTGAATCTCGTTGAAAATTATCTTAATAATGTTGCATTGATACGAAATACTATTAGTACTATCAAAGCAATTATTACATTTTTTTCGTGAAAGCCCAAAAAGGAGGTCCTCTGTCCCAAATATTCCTCTTCTGTGTGAGACAAGATGGACAAGCAAGTATAAAAGTATTCAGATTTTTTCTAGTAAATTTGCAGACATTTATTGCCAACTGGAAACATTTTCATTGCATGCAAGTGGAAATACACGACAGGCTGGACATCAGTTACATTGTTCATCAAAGTCCAGCACGTTTTTTATTTTGTCTCAATATTATTTCTCAAGACTCTGCCATACTGGAACCAGTTACTCAGGCTCTTCTAGCTGTTCAAGTTGATCTTCCATAAGTCCAACTGCAAGTTCAAAACCTGCTCAGTGTAGTAAAACTTCACCAAGGTGATTCCGATAACTATTTCAGGGATATTTTTGTGAAAACACTACAACTCGCACAGAAAGTGGATATTGAGCTGATTATCCCAAGACAGTGTGGAAGACAAAAGTATCGAAGTAATCCGGGAACCATAAGTGTTGAAGAGTACTTCAAACTGTTTACATTCCATACTTAGATTCTCTAATTAACTCAACTGAGAGTCGATACTGTGAAGCCAACAGTGCACAATTTAACTTAGCGTTGCTACATCCTTCGAAATTGTGCAAACTGAATCGTAAACAGTTTAAGGATATAATGTCTACTATTATTCAGATATACTACATTGATAATTTTGAAACTTCTTTCTTCTTCTTCTTCTTCTTCTTCTTCTTCTTCTTCTTCTTCTTTTCTTCTTCTTCTTCTTCTTCGCGTTCACCAGCTGTACACTCTGGCGTAAAGTTCTGGTTGTTCAACCACTTCTGGACTGCAGCCATGCTCCAGAACATGAGTGTTGCGTGTGCATCAGTTTTACAGATCTGATTCAATTGAATGCAGACTGTTGGTTCCTCGCCTCTCAGGCAGATGCACTCCGACTTCAAAGGAAGTTCCCCAGTTAGTCGACTCTTACGACATGCTTTTGGGGAGGCAGTGGGTCTATTCTTGTTTTCCCCACAATAGGGCCCCGGAACCCACACGGGGGAGGGAAAACGCGAGAATGCAGAAGTAGACAAGATTTTATCGACTTGTACCTTTTACAAAGTTTTATCTGAGTGTCAGGTATGCCTTACTAGTTTTGCTAACATTACCAGCAACAACATGTACTGTGGAGCGATCGTTTAGCACATTACGTCGTCGTGTAAAACATGGCTTAGATCTGCAATGTCAGATAAACGTCTGTATGGATTGTTTATGTTAAGCAAATCCAGGCCGGCAACGAAACAAATAATGATTTGACCGTTGCTGGCGCTACGTCGTTCGTGGTTTGTGCGATTTATGAAAGTACTTACAACGAGCTTTGGTGATATCCTTGGGAACTGCCAATATTTTTTTGTTCATACTTTACTTTTAGCATATTGAAATGTTTATTCAAAGTGAAAGCCACATAGGAAGGTGAGCAATTTTTTTTTAAATCACATGAAAAAGAAACACAAAGTTAGCACAGTGAGGTTACGGTTGAAACAAAGTAAGTGTGATTTGCGCACCCTTTTAATTAATCAGTACCGGGGCTGCCAGATATTTGAGCTTTGACCCCAGTGAGAGTTCAAAGTTTGAGTAACTGAAAGAAAAAACAATAATAACTGGAAAAAAAATATTCAACTCAAATCAAAAGCATCTAGAAAAACATCTACCATAAGAAAAAAAATATTTGACTCCAAATGAAAAGCATCTAGAAAAGCATCTACCATTTAAACGTCAAAAAGACATCTAAATGGAAGGAAAAACATATGAAAAGCATCTAGAAAAGCATCTATAATTTAAACGTCAAAAAGACATCTAAATGGAAGGAAAAACATATGAAAAGCATCTAGAAATGCATCTACCATTTAAACGTCAAAAAGACATATAAATGGAAGGAAAAACATATGAAAAGAATCTAGAAAAGCATCTACCATTTAAACGTCAAAAAGACATTTAAATGGAAGGAAAAACATATGAAAAGCATCTAGAAATGCATCTACCATTTAAACGTCAAAAAGACATATAAATGGAAGGAAAAACATATGAAAAGAATCTAGAAAAGCATCTACCATTTAAACGTCAAAAAGACATTTAAATGGAAGGAAAAACATCTAAATGTGGATGTAAAATATCCGAAGTGGCAACACTGAACGTCATAGTAAAGGCGCGCTTTGCAAGAGCGCGCTTTTGCGATGTGAACAACTTGGATGTAGAGAAACCGCGAGAAACCACAACCTGAACACCCTAGAATTTATTGGGAATGTCTCCTGTGACGTCATTGTGACGTCAGGGGTACGCAAAAAATATAGTACCGAAGAGACAAAGTTCACAGTTAGACGATAGATACGTCATGACTTTGAAACCCAGGCTTTACAAACCTAAGTGGATCAGTCATAGTTACGATGGTTTGGACATGTATGCAGAATGGGAGAGAATCTGCCACCAAGGCAGAGATGGGAGGCTAAGAACCAGGGAACCAGATCACCAGGGTTTGCTGGGAAGACAACATCCGACAGTCCCTGACTGACAAGGGACTCGAATGGAACAAAGCCAAAAAGAAAACTGCTGATACAGAAGTCTGGTGATTTCTCTGGCAAACCTCTACACCCCAAAGCATAAGGGCAGCAACTAAGTTAGTAAGTAAATAAGGGCAATGACTAGCTGCATGTTTGACCTATCTGTGTATGGTTATATTCAATATTTAAGTTTCACTCACTCACAATACTAGTTCAGATTTTTCCATCTGTTGGGAAAATTCAGTTTTCATTTCTCCCAGTTTTACACAATACTGAAGCTTTTAGGTGCTGTTCCAGAGTTTCCCATTTTAAAGGTTAGTACAATTTCTTGATAGGGTTTGGCTTAGAAGTGAATATCAAATATTTTAAACTGCTTCAACTGCAAAATGAAATAAAAGGCAGAAGCGGGAGCAGTAAGCTAAATCACCTGAGCCATCTTTACAGGAGACAGGAACTAGCATCAATCATGCAATACCAGAAACTAATTTTAATTTGTATGTTGGTAAGTAATCAATAGTGCCATGATTCCTGTATGTTTATTTTTTACTCCATGAACTGTTATGTGTAGTTCTGTGAACAATGTATGTGCACTACATTTCAATAGGACATAGCAAGACTGAAATCAGTACCTCATCTTCCACTAAACTTCTCTGGATAGCTGACCAAGAAGTATCTGGATGAAAGGTTTCAGTTGTGGCACTGCCAAAGTCACAGAGTTTAATGGTTCCCTGACCGCTGATCAGAAGATTCTCAGCCTAATTAAATACACAATCAATATTGTAACTGACGTTTAACACAAAAATGAACATATTAAATGTCACAGTCTCACTTCAACCAAGAACATGATTAATTGTAGATAGAGGCTGTATTATCATCACTAATTAAATCAAAGATACAATTTTATGTCTGCACCGCTCCTTGTTTTCAGCTCACCTTATAACTTTGAACCCATATGTTTGCGTAAGATTGTGTAACTAATTCAAGCCCCGATTGTCTTCTCCTTTTCCAAATGATTCTGCCTTCCAGCATTTTCAACTGTAAATCTCCATGTCTTTTGTGATCAAACTGTCAAAATATTTTGCAGTCTATTTGCCCCTGTCTTTAAGAAATATGTTGTATTACTTTTCTTCCGTTCACCACCCTATTTTCTTCCCAAAACATCTCAAGAGCTTCTAAAGATTTTACATCATGCATGTGTATTTAACCCACTGACTACACTGATCACATGTCATGCCATCCGCCGATGTTTATGCCTGGCTACCACAAACGTACCACGCCGCCATGTTAAAATTGCAATTTTTGCGATAAATGTAGTTGAAACCGTTAGTCTACTCATTTCTTTACGTTTATTTAAGGGATACAATTCAGTAGTGCTTAAAGTAAATTTTCCACAAAAAATTTGTGGGTAAGCTCCCATGTTGATTACGCATTTGGTGCATGTTTTCATAATGCGGCTGAGCGTCAGGGTTGACAAGGTGAAACAGTTCGGAGGATAAATATGATGCGGTGGAGTATTGTCTTGATGATGATAAATCAGAAAGTGAAAGTGAAGGTATTTTTGAACAGTCTGATGACTGTGACTTTGATCATTCTTACAAACCGCCATCAAAAACATGGTCGAACGTTTTGTTTACAGCAGTGGCATGGTAGTCGGAGGTGGGTGTGTTACATTACATTAGATCAAGTAGTGTGCTTCAGGTGTGTACTGTTAGATGTGTCTGTTAGTATAGACTGTGAATAGTACGGCTCTGTGGCTTAGAGTTAAGTAAAAATCATTTCACAATGCAATCCTCAACATTTACTGGGATGCCATTCCTGCAGTGCGTGTCTTGGCAAATGATCATTTTTGTGCCTTTTTTTTTTTTTACTTTGACAGTTCAGTCACACTGTAATTGAAGATTTTAGTGCAAAATGGCAAACAGCCGCTGAATTTGCAGAATTTTGTTTCACAGTTAGGCAGAGCTCTAATCCAAGATTATTTAAGCAAAAACATACTTATGTTGGTGTCAGAAGATTTTTTTTTTTGGCACCACATTTTTTGGGGGCCACATTGTTGATGTAAAACAAGATTATCCAATTTTTTTTTCAATTCTTGAAATTTGTTCTTTGTTCAGTTTGGTACAAAAATGCAAAATGAGTTATGTTAAACAGTTGTGAAGCTATGGCATTTTTGTTAGTCTATATTGCTGTCAGAAAAAAGCCACACTATGATGATGTACAACAAGATTACACAATTTTTTATTTTTTATTCTTGATGATTGTTCTCCATTCAATTTGGTGCAAAAATGCAACATATTATGAAGTTATATTAAATAGTTGTCAAACTATGGCATTTTTGTTAGTCTATGTTGCTGTCAGAAAAGAGCTTTGATCCACTAAAAATCTGAGGTAATCCTATCCCAGAAGTCAGATATGCAGACGACACAGTTCTCACTCCCAATATTGTACAAGGTTTTGAAAAATTAATTAATTAATTCTGGCCGTCAAAAAGCACAGCAAAGAAGTGAATCTTTTTCAGAATTTGAATTTTTCAAAAATCATGTGCTTCATAAATACAGCACACCAACCGCACATCACAAGTGAAAATGAAGAAATAGAAAATGTTACAGATTTAGAATACTTGGGCTCTTTAGTGAACAACAGTGACGACTGCTCAAAAGAAGTCAGAAGAAGACTTGCATTCAATGCAGAGATTAAATAGGATGAAGAACCTATGGCAAAGCACTAGTAAATTGGTTAAAGCAAAAATCTGGAGATCATGCATTTTCCCTGTGGCAACTTACAGTTGTGAGTCCTGGACTCTCACTCAGTCACTGAGAAAAAAGACTGGAGCTTTTGAGTTAAAATGTTACAGAAAACCTTCATAATACCATGTATCAGGAAGAGGAAAAACATCGACATCTGAACGAGTTGAACGTCAAGGAGAACTGGCTCATAAACAGCATCCTGTCCCAGAAGCTGAAGTATTTTGGCCACATCAAGCGTCTAGGTGGTTTGGAAAAGACGGTGTTGGAGGGTGCAGTTTGTGGAAGGCGAGCCAGGGGTCGACCACCACGAAGATGGATGCAGGACATTGAAGATGCATTGGCATTAAAAGCACATAGGGCTGGAGTGCAGGTTAAAGAAAGTGATACTTTCAGGCATGTCGTGAGGAGAATAACATTCTGTAAAGGACACGCTGACTGATGATGAAGATGATTTACTGTCAAAAGAACTGATATAATCATTCCAGTATTCAACTCAAAAACAGAATTCTATAGATAATAATTGCTTACTAAGGGAGAACTCAAAACATAAAATGTGAAAAATGGTAAAAGAAATGTTGCCTTCAAATCTCGATGGATGACAGGAGGTTGCTGTTTGTGCATATGCTGAACCGCTTTGCTTGTCTGGTAAATCACACGCAGAACCTGATCAAATTCTAATGGTCTTCCTCGTCTGTTTAACTCATCTACAAGTTGACCTCCTGGTAGAGTACAATTATTAACATAAGTCTCAAAGTATGTTTTACATGCACAGGCATTTTTTGTATTTACATTTAAAATGAAAATACATATATTAAAAAAACTCTGAAATGAACATAAAATACTTTGTTATAAAAAATGAAACATTTAATGTAATACTTTTAAGCAAACATACATCACACTTATAGCAAAGATATCATATTTCAGAACATATTATGCAAGTGACCTTTAACAATGATAAAACATTGCCCTGTGGGCAACCTGCAATTTGCTGTTGACATTATCTTATGGCTGGAAAAGAATTAACAAGTCCTCTCTGCAGGGATAGAGGCAATTTCAAAGATGCATGGAATAATAATTATAGATGAAAAAAAAAAAAAAGATAATGATAGAAATCTACCAGGCTGGGACAACCAACATAAAAAATTAATGGGAAAATGCTAGGAGTCAATGCTAAATATCAAAAGGTTCACTTTACAGTTCAAGTAGGGAGATCAAAGCAAACTTCAGATTGCGCCATTTGCCATGACGAATCATGTATGGAGGAGCAACATCAGATTATCTGTCAAGACAAACTATACAAGTCAACTGTGGTGTCAATTCTCTGATGCCAGTGTCAGAGCTAGACTCTTACTGGAGAAACTTAATGAGGCATCCAGGAATTTGTTGACAAAAGCTTGAGGAAACTGCACAACACAAAGAGCACATCAAACATGTGCTTATGTTAGAGACAAAGTAAATATGTGTGCTGGCCATCAAGAATCAGAAAATTACACATGAAAATCTGGCAATGGGAATGTCAAATGCCATGGCACCTTCTCAAAGGAAGTCTTCAGGACCAATTCAGAGCAAGCACAGAAGAGAAAGGTAGGGAGAATACTGTAAAATTTTCCCACTTGTGCAAGCTATAGAGGAGAGAGATTGGTTAAAGACTGATGATCCCATCACAAAATCTCTATGACCTACATTCAGGGCGAATGGGATTAGATAATAACATATGAAAGCTGTTAAATCGTTTTGAAGATAAATATTGTTTAACTTCTGATTTTTCCAAATTCCAGACAAGAAACCATTGACAATTTAAATAAGATTTTGATTTTTGTTTTTCAAGCTATGATTGCATTATTTACTCTGTAGTTGTTGAAAGGCAAACTCTCGTCCTGATGATCTGGTTATCTACAGAAATAGTTATGTTTTGAGAGGGAAGAGAAGAGCCTGGGGTTTCGTAGCGAAAGCCAATGGAAAATATTTAGTGCAGGACAGCCTGGCATATGATACCACAACATCCAGCATGAGAATGGAGGTGGAGGCAGTCACCACAGCTTGCCAGTGACTAGAGGACAAGATACGTCGTACACATGTCGTAACTGAAACGGACTCTGAAAGCATGCTGAAAAAGGTGAAGACAGGACTGCTTCGAGCAGAGTGGAAAACTTCACTTGCAAGGTCATGGGTAGAGAGCATACTTTGGATCTTTTATCCAAGCTATGCCGGCATGGTGGGGAATGAACAGGCAGACAGACTGGCTGGATCTGCACCACTGGGTGGTGAATGATAAGGCAGATGTGGTCAGAGCCCTTTGGGAACGAGTAACGAAGTCAGAAGATAAATTAGATTATTATGGGCTAGAGAGAATGATGCAACTTGGTGTGACCAGAGGGTTCCACCGGCACACTACGCTCAGAGGAAAGGCAAGACGGACATACCAATAGACTATGATCGACACCACTAGTAATGGAACTCTGCGCTGGCTGCTGAGGATGGGGACGGAGTGCAGATGGAATGCCCCAATTGCTGTGATGTCAATTCTTTACTTAACTGAGAGGCTGTTTTCACCCTTGCACTATCGCAAAGATTTATTTTGACTTTGTATGCATGTTTTTTTATTTAAATTTGCTGCAAGCATCGAGAGATGAAGGCTTCTGCTCAATTGTTATCTCCATGTTTACAGTTTCTTTCTTGTCCTAACAGAACTATCTCATGAAGATGACTGAACCCACAAGGACAATTAGGAACATGCAAAAGCAGTCAATATTTTTAAAGACATCAATATCATATGTCACTTATCCTAAGTCTCTATATGTCTGTCTATACCCTCTGTTCTATCAACTGTAAACAAACAGATCACATATGAAGACAGACCTGAGCACAATTCTGTCAGCAGCAGATACTCTGACTGGCCATGATCTGATTGAGCTTTACCTATAGCAGCAGCAGTGATAAACTGGATGATATTTGGATGTCCTGACAATTTTTTCTGCAAAATATTTCAAGTCAAAGCATCAATTTATGTAAAGAAAAAGTGTATTATTACAAGTTTAGGCAATATAAAAAAAAAATGTAAACTGAGGAAACAATTTGGTTAATTAAAAGTAAAAAAGAAGTGTTGCCTAATGACTGGACCGAAGGAACAATAGTCCAAATCCCCCCCCCCCCCCCAAAAAAACTTAACAGACTGCAATAATTGGAGGGGAATTACTCTACTCTCAGTACCAAGCAAAATATTTTGTAAAATCATCATAATGAGGCATGAAAAAGGAGCAAATAAATGCCTACAAGTAGAACAAGCAGGATTCAGAAAGGGCAGAGGAACAACTGAACACATCTTCGCCATACGCAACATTTTAGAACAATGCAATGAATGGCAGAGAAGTATATATATTAATTTTGTGGACTTTGAGAACGCTTTTGACAGTGTACATAGAGACAGTCTATGGAAAATTTTACGACATGGAATTCCAGAAAAAAATAGTCAACATAATTGCTTTCTTCTATAAAGACTTTTCCTGCAGTATAAAAAATTACATCTTTCCCAGTAAAGACAGGGATGTGTTATGTTATCTCTCTTCTTCAACCTTGTGACTGATTGGATACTAAAGAACACAGTAGACAGAACATTGAAAGGCATATGATGGACTCCATTCACCTTGCTTGAGAACCTTGATTTTGCAGATGATATAGCACTCCTATCACATAAACATGAACATATACAAGAAAAAAGTAACAGACTACACAGCACAGCAGAAATGGTAGGACTGAGAATAAATACAAAGAAAACTAAGATCATGACAAGCAGTCCAAACTAACAACCAGTGACCATAAATAACCAAACTCTTGAAAATGTAGAACATTTCACATATTTTGGCAGTGTGGTGTCCCTGCCGGGAGGGACCGAAGAGGACATACAGTCACGCCTGAACAAAGCTAGAGCTGCTTTTGGAAGGATGAGGCAAATCTGGAAATCCAACAATTACTGCAGAGGAACGAAACTCTGACTCTACAAGAGCATAATTTTGCCAGTTCTTCTTTATGGAATGCTGGAGAATGACCAAAAAGGATGCACACAAGCTGTCTACCTTCCACCACACATGTCTAAGTAGAATTATCAAATTTTTCTGGCCAGATACAATCTCAAACACTAAACTACTTCAAGTCACAAACCAAGAAACTTTAGACAATATGATAACCAAGAGAAGATGGAAATGGCTTGGCCAAATTATGAGAATGAATCCTGATATACCTGCCAAAACAGCTCTCACATGGACACCAGAGGGAAAGAGAAATCAGGGGCGCCCAAAAATAACATGGAAAAGAACGATGGAAAGTGACCTGAGTGCGGCATCTTTGACATCAAAAACTGCACTGAAGATTGCACAGTACTGGAAAGCATGGAAAGTCCTCTCTGAAGCCTCATGCGCCACTAGGCCTAACGAGAGCTGATGATGATGAAAAGTAAAGAGCCCTCGATACACCATTAGCAAATCAGGGATAAGGTGCAAGATCCATATTATTATAGACCAACCGGCACTCAATGTGTGAGTGGTCAATACGATGATGGTTAGCCCTGTCACATTTGATGACACCCATTTTAGGTTTTTGTCAACCTGGGAGCCCAGGTTAATAACACATATCTGTTTCAATATGAAATCTGGCACAGCAGGCAGGCAATCTTGACTGTTAGTAAATAGATTCACATGATCACCTCTTCTATTATTAATGATACAAATAGAATCCTTGCCTGTAGAAACTGACATCTGTTGAAGACTGGCTGCAACCTGTCACCAAGTATCGAAACCATGTTAATCCTGGTGATCTGCTATAATAATCTTTCAACAAACAGTATATTATCCATTCTCTGTGATGGTTATTTTCATTGCTTACATATCTGCTCCATTTTAGTTGGAACAGTATGCTAGGAGACATAAATTATCACAATGAATTTCGGCCACCAATATTTTCGAAAAGAATCAACTAATTTACACAAATAAGAAGAAAAAAAATAACTCACCAGATATTTAATCTCTTCTATAACAGCCTTATTTTTTTCGTCATCATTTGCAAGAAGTCTCTGTATTTATAAAATAGAGAAAAAAGTTCAATTATTAATGCAGCAGCTACTGATCTGCATCAACAGCCTACAATTCAAGACAAGACTGCAGATACAGTTCATTTCCTCTCTCTCTCTCTCTTCTCCCCTTTCTCATGCAGGCAGGCACACACATCACATCGTTCGTCAGAGGTATCCCCAAAGCCTCTACTGTTACATCAATGACCAATGAGTCCTTTCCACAATGCAGAAAGTAGCAGTAATAAAGCTAGACCATTGAACAACTCAGGAGAGGGCACTGAGGTCTCTGACATAACAACACAGCATTCTACGATGGCTTCCTATCAGAACAATTTTCAACTTCCTACCATCAGCAACAAACCTCAACAGATGGGGGAAATCTTAGAAATACGATGTCTTCACTTGTATCAAGAAAAGCAGATTGTTGATTCTGTCAGATTCAGTCTGCAAGGTGGCCTTAGGATAACAATGATATATATGGTACAAAGTGTTTTTTAACTGGCCACCGTAGGGGATGTGACATGGCTTCAAGCAAACAAGAAAACCATAACCATGGCTGCCCCAGTCAAAATCCTAAATGGCCGAAAAGAAACAAATCTGTGATTAATCTACCGCTCTTTCTCAATAGCACAAATGACTGAACAATGATAGTATAACTGGCACGTTGTGGGATCTGATGATACTGCAGTATACTTCTTGACAAGGCAAACTTGTCTAGCATCCATACAATACTGAAGAATTGTCAGCTGCGTTGGGCTGGTCACCTAGCCGGCATGCCAGACTATCCCATCCAAAAGAGAGTATTTTATGGCGAGCTCCAGCAAGGGAACAGGTCCCAGGAAGGACAGAAAAAGTGCTATAAAGACACTCTCAAGTTTGCTCTAAATTCTTTTGGCATCAACACAGCGATGCGGAAGGCTGCTGCACAAGACCGTTCTGGATTGCGTACGTCCCTCAGGCATAGGTTGCACAGGCAGATAAATGGAAGCAAACTAGAAAAAAACCACATTGCTAAGCCTATACTTACTGCGGCTTCCACCTGTCATCTGCACTGCTCAAGAACTTTCCGGGCTAATATTGTACTAATCAGCTACCTTCGTACTCAAAATCATTGATCATAACTACTTTGGATGAAAAGTGGTCTTCATCACTCGTGATGGACGAACAACAACATACTTCTTGAACTGTCCATGTAAGAGTTAAAAACTGAGGTGTAATACATTTTCAATTGTGTATTCTACACATCTTTAATTCACCACAGAGGATGTCCCTAGGATGCCATCCTTCATTCTCCAGGTGTGACCCAGCCTTTGTAGAATGAGCACTGAGAAAACTGTTGCATGCCTGCTCTTTCTAATACCTCAGTGTTTGTGATCTTGCCCTGCCACGTAATGCCAAGTATTCTTCTTAGGCATCACATGTGAAAGCTATTTAGCTATTTCTCCTGATGCAAATAAGTTGACCAGGTTTCACTACCATAAAGCAGAGCGCTTAGAACACAAGCCTGATAGACAAGAGTTTTTGTTTTAATCATGAGCATTCTGTTCTCCCAAACTCTTTTTGTTAATCTGCTCACTGTTGTTGCTGTCTCCCCTATCCTGAAGTTGATTTCTTGGTCCAGAAATAGTTTATTATTCACTGTTAATCCAAGATAAGTAAAATTGTCAATTGTCTCCAGCTCTTCACTATCAATGTAGACAGCAGGTCTACCAAAAATACCTTGCACCATAATCTTTGTCTTCTTTCTGCTGATTGTTAGTCCGAATTCACAGCATGCATCAGCAAATGTTGAATGTTGTATTAAAAATCAACATCATAGCACCCCGGACACTCCCATAAGCATTCAACACTCAAATTCTGATGGTACCAGTAATTGTCTGATTGTATATCTGTTTTGCCTTTTCCTTGAGTGATGACCATCGACCAGATTCCCTGGTAACTTCCCGCAGCGCCATTTTCCTCATACCATATTGATCTATCTGTGCCTCCGCACTGTTCACTGCATCAGCAAATGCAGACAGTAAACATTGCAGCTTCTCTCGGTGGGTGGTTATTGAGGCATCATCAGCAAACAGCAGCTGTCTGATAAGTACCTTTCTTATCCTGACTTTGGCCTTCAGCCTGCAAGCACTGTAAGGTGTCCATCCAAAGGAGAATGGATGAATACACCACTCTTCTGATCATAAAAGGCATGCTTCAAAAGATGTGAGAAGTATGTTTTAAAGAAGGCAGGAAGTACACATCCCTGCTTTAATCCACTGCTGATTAAAAACTTCTCCCATGTTATACCATCAAGCTGATTGGTACTTTCATACCAGTGTTGAATGAATCAGTAATGCTAAGTAGGGTAGGTGTAAATGCAATCTTCAATCTTCTTCAGCGTGCTGAACAGATCTTTTCAACTAAATCAAATGTCTTGGCAAGATCAATTAAAGCAATACACAGTGGCTGATTTTGTTCACAACATTTTTCCTGCAACTGTCATAATGAAAACATCATATCAGTGATAGACTGGTTCCCACGAAAGCCACACTGTGACTCTGGGTAAACCTGCTCTCCTAGGATCTAGAGTCTTCGCAGAACAATTCTCGCAAGTACTTTTCCAACAGTACACAGCAGTTATTCCCCTGTTATTACAGTCACTTCTATCACACCCTTATTATTGTTCATAGTTATGATACTTGAGTCTTTGAAGGCTTGCGAAACCTGTCTCTCATGCCCGCAGAGTGTTATTAGCTGATGAATGTGTGGGGTTATAATGTCCTTCCCGCTCCTGATGATATCAATAGGAATTCCAGCTGTTTTTAGATAGTCTCTTTAACTGTATCAAATTTTAAGCTTGTTATCATGGATATCAGTGAAAGCATCTTTGAGCTGTTGTTGGAACTCGAAACACTTTTCAAGGTTTTTAGTTTTATAAATATTTAACTTGGGGATGTATTTGTTTCTTGAAGTGAAAATTTTCTGGTTTCATCCGAACTCCTGCAGCAACTAGGGATTGGTCAGTATCACAGTTAGCCCTGTAGTAGCTGCGAGTTAATGATACATAGTTCAAATGCTGCCTCCTTGTAAGAATAAGGTCCAATTGGTGCTAGTGGCCAGATCTTGGATGTTTTCATGACACCTTATGGCATTTTTTAGTTTTAAAAAAGGAGTTTGTGATGCACAGGTCATTTCTAGTGACCATTCATGTGACCAACATTATATTTTCCTAGGCAAACTGGTCATGAGTTTGAATCCAACCCCATGTGAGCATAAAAATCACTAAGTATGTATATGCCGTCAGATTTAGGAATTGCTTTCACTATTCCACTCCATACTTCCAGATTTCTTCCTGGCCTTTGCCTTTCCAGAAGAATGTATAATTATTTTCTCTAATGGACACATCCTTTGGCAGATGTGTTTTCTGTACACCAGCAATATCTATGTCAAGTTATTGAGTTCAGCATACATGGTCATGACAATCCATGAGGCAAGCATAAGCTTGAAGTTATGTTTCTTTTTACTGGCTGGTGCAGTGATTTCTAAAGCCTGCAATTCTGATTTTGTCCTAGCTCCAAGCACTAAGTGAAGCACACAGGCTGTGGTCGATCAACACCTTATTGGCTGGGGGCTGCGAAGCATGAGGCTGGTGGTAGCTGATCAGTGACATTAGAAAATGTCTCCTACCATCAGAGGCAACCTGTGGGGTTTTCATATATGCCAACTGACAAAGGCTAATAACCAATAACTGCTGCCTCTCAATTTGCTTCCAAGACCAGTTAAGACCAGAGATGAAGTTCCTCTTCTCAATTGCACAAAGCCTGAGCAGTACTGTAGAGACCATATGTTGCCCATGCATCATGATATCTCTCTCTCTTGACCTGCCTTGTTTACTCTAAAGGAAAGGTAACACCAGTATATTTGGAACAAAGCAAGCTGCAGAAGCAGATAGATCAGAAGAGCAGTGCTCTATCTGTTCACCTGTAAAGCTTTTCCTTCCTAGACCAGCTGCCAGCCAAGGCTAAAGGCTGGTCTGTCTTGCCATAACATAAAGTTTTCAGGCTGCATTTCCTCTTCCTAGGATACAGCTAGTATCATCCACAATGCTCTCCTCCGCACGAAACCATTGGCACAATATAGGCTGCCAGGTTTGGTATCCGACACCCAACATTCGGCATTAAAAGAAGACAGGTAGTCCTAAATCACTAAAACAGTAGGCATTAAACTGACAACACCCGAGCACACTAGTTCAGTGAGCAATGATGATCATTTTGTTAATTTAATATTTGACTATCTTTAAATAATGCAGACACAAACAACATATTGCACAAATTATTGCCAGGCATATTTCATTGTATCTCGTCAGGTGTGTTACTAGGGAGTTACATCAACATAAAATGAAGCACAAAAACTGAATAAATCCAAATGTAATGTAATGCATTCTTTTGATGCACTGTGCTTGTCTAGTCATCGAAAGTTCACTGCAGTCTTACTGAGGTTACTTCAAATTTACTATAAAAATTATGTCTGCTTACAACGAAGAAGATTGTTGAAAACAAAATCAACAACGCCCTTCTTTGAAAGCAGACCGAATTTGTAGTAAACCTGAAGTAACCCGAGTTAGTCATGTGACTGCAGTGAACTTCCAAGAACCAGGGTTCGCTAAGAAGACAACATCCGACAGTCCCTGACTGATAAAGGACTGGAATGGAACAAAGCCAAAAAAGAAAACTGCAGATAGAGAAATCTAATTATCTCTCTAGCAAACCTCAACACCCCAAGATAGAAGAGGATCCACTAAGTAAATAAATAAGTATGTATGTGTGTGTATGTGTGCACATGTGCGTGAACATTATTGGCAGTACATGTAATAGAAGGCTATGGACAGGCACTGTAACAGTTGAAAAGATTGAGGGTTTTAGAGACTGAGACCAACAGGAAAAGAGGATGGTGGATGTGTTGGTAGAGTAGATGGAAAAATTAGTATTGAACTTATCCAGAAAAGAGGAAACTTAGAA